TCAAAATGAAAGTGTTCTAGATTATAGTGAGAAAAACAAAAATAGACCGAATCCGAAAGACTGAAATAATGTAAAAAGAATGGAAGAGAACAGACTGCCAGGATTGCACTTGAGGGGAAAGCAATAAGGACAAGAACACATGGAAGATCACATAAGAGATACAAGAGCAGCTAGCAGCCCACCTGCCAGGAAATGAAACAGATGACTAACACATCGCAAGATCCCAAAAGAAAAGTATTGTAAAAAAAAAAAACTTTTTCAATTTTAAGAATACTACCGGATGTTTCAAATTCGACTCTTACCCCCCGAGCCGGAAAAATATGATCCCTGAAATCGGAGAAAAATTATGATAATGATCCTGATAACCACTTGTTTTAAAAAATGAAGATATCTGCGGAAATTCCAGTTATGTAGTTGAAAAGTAAAATTCCGGTTTTCGTTTTACTTTTTTTACAAATTAGCAAATAGAATTTTATTTTTATCTTCTGTTCCAAAAAGAATGGCGTAGGATTTTGAACCATTTTCCCTTGCCCAATCTTATCGAGATCCGTGATCAATTTTAGCTGCCCTTCTGCCTTTTCCAAAATACCCAAAATCAGGTAAGTATAAGTGGACGAAGGCAGCCTTCACTACAGCACTTAGGCCTGAGCTGGTCAATTGTGTTTTCTCCAAGACACTCCGCTTTACATCAAGCATAGTAACCCCCCGATGTCAGCTCCCAGAGTCGCCTCCGTAATTACAGACATCACGCCTAAACGAGAGGTTATGACATTAGCACAGAATGTGTTCTACTGTATCGTCCCTGTTCACATACCCTGCGGGTGGGGGTGCTAATCAAACTGAATCTGGACCTGTGGCGATGCGTAGCTTTTTCGAAGACAAATGTTATTTAAATTCACTTATACTTTTAAAATACATTGCAATATACAGGGTGTTCCGAAATAAGTTCTAGTTTTCTATATAAATATATTTCGAGAAACGCTCCCTCAACTTATCCATTTTTTAAGAGGGGCATAACTTTTGAGGGGTACAGGCAACAAGAACTGCAATAACTTTTTTTCTTGCTTGACTTTTAGACTTTTTTGTTATAAAATTAGAAAAGTTGTATTCTGTTACAAGAAAAAGGTCCACTTGAACGATATCGCTAGGATGGACCATTTTCGACGAAAATTGATTTCAAAAATATAAATTTGTTCGTCAAAAATTAAAGAGTAGGCGATTAAACACAATTGACAAGATTGTTATTTTGTTGTCTGTTTCACATTTATAGTTTTTTTGGTTGACACTCTCTCTGAAGTTTTTTTAAATTGAATTTGGAGGATAAAACGTCTTTCGTACAGAAAATTTACGGTCTTTGCAATGATAACATGCGCACGGCAGTACAGCGTGTCTCACGTAAGGTGAACTATATTCATTTCTCAATTATTTTTAGCCTATTCACTTTTGGATTATGCCCGAATTCTTAATAACATTAAATATATCCTAACCCGTGCGGAAATCAAATATTCTGATGGAAATTCCATTTGTATTTACTACTAAATCTAAAAACTCAAGCGCCAAGCAGAATTGAGGAAAATCCGCAAATAGCATATTCCTAAAATAATTGTAAGTTTACCGATGTGACATTTCAGTCTCTTCGCATAGACATTTTTCTACCAAGAAAAAAAAGTTTCGACGTACATGCGTAGTTTTAGCTTAATCCAAATGCAAAGACTAATTTTTTTAATTTAATATCGGAAGATTTTCCATTTCGATTAGAATTTTGCCAGTGGATTGGGCAAAATTTTATGGTTATAGAGAGGGATAGTTTGGCCCACTAATTCCACTAATTAAATTTCTTTCAACTTTCTAGATATATCTGATATATAAAATCCTATAGCTCCTACCATTTCTGACACATTTTGAATTTATCTAAACCGATATTTGTCTATATTAGCATATATCTATCGGTTTCTCCGACTGAAAGTTTTTGTCATATATATGGGATTCACTTCCCTATGAGATCTACGTCAGGGTTTGTGTTAATATTTTAAAATAAATAAATATAAGGTGATCAAAAAGTAATATGTCCAAATATTATATATGAAATATGTCTAGAAAATTTCAAGGAATTAAAAATATGCAGGGTGTCAAATAAGAAAGTTGTTACTTGTCTACGGAAACACAAATGACATGTAAAAATAACAATATAATAGTTTAACAGTATTAGGGAATTGGGTCTAAGATAAGGCGTCACCCTATAATTAAGGGGTCGGTACTTTGTACTACAAGAACTACCACAATCGCCACATTTTCATTCCATTTCTCAAATACTAATATTAACTAAACAAACTATTTGCCCAGTTTTTAAAAGTGATAAAAAAATTCGAAAAATATTTAAAGTTCAGCATACAGTAACACATACAGGGTCTTACTGAAATAACATCATATAATCTAACAAGCCGATGTGGACCGCACCGTAATGTCAAATCGATGATATGCTTGGTCCAAATCAGGTATGATAAACTAGATAGGCTGGTTTCGACGAATACAATTAAAGGACCTCTGGTTTCGTTTTTCAACATTTCATTAAATCTAAGGGTACAAACATGGTGCAAAAAGGCAAAAGCCCAGCCAAAGTGTGTACTTAACTGCTACTCGGACTTTTGCTTTGAAATGGCATGATGAATTCAGAGCAAATCATATTTTCCAACAGCCGTGCTCTATGGAATGTATCCCATTTCCGACAATAGAAATGGTTATGCTATTGATAAATTGTGGTCAGAAGTGGTGGAAACATGCAATATGACAGGTAATTATGGGAACAAGGGGAAAATCCCCCTCCACACCCAAAAAATACGCCTCCTGTCCTTCCGGGCAAATACGAACAACATATAGGAACCAAAAAAGTATATATCTATGTTCGCGTCAAATCTTGTACGATAAATTACAACCACTTCCCTTTACCGTAGGAAGTTGAAATTTCGCATGTTTATTCAGATCCGATGACAATGCATTTTTTTGGTACAGATGACCCGATTCAACCCCTAGATGGGGGTGAAAAGGGGAGTAGTTGTTTGTATCTTGAGAACGAAGATGTCTAGAGACATGCGGTTATCAGTGTTGGGAAGTTGGGAAGAGCATCAAAGGTAATGCGTTGAAAATTGGTTTGTTAGGAATCCGACCTTTTGTATTCCATCTAGCTTTGTTGGCATAGTTGTGTTTGGCATATTGTCTAACTGCTGTTAAGTATCTTTCGAAGCCTTCTCTGTTGATAATGACGTGCAAGGCACATATCGGTTTGCTGATAATATTTCAGGTTGAATAGGGTGATTGTTTTGAAGTCGGTCCAGTTTTGATAAGTTTAAAATATTTTAAAAATTTAATCAATCAAAAATATTGTATACCAGTATTCATCCTCAGGTATTCAATAAAACCGTTGAAGATTTTTAGTTCTGAAAAAAATGTATGGTAATGTCCAAGCATCTAACGATGTTTATTAACCTAAATGCATCGAATGGTTTCGCACACCCTTGACCACCACAACACATAGTGGTTAATACTGGCGTTTCGAACGATTGTCTAAAATCATTTTAACACAATATGTCGATTACAAAGTAATACTAGTCGTTATCAAGTGAAAACTGATTTTCACTTGATATTGGCTAGTGATAATTTCTGAAAACTGATTTTCAATTGATAACAGCTAACTTTAGGCAATGGAAGTTGAAACGTCAGTATTGACAAGAATCGCCCTTCTCTCCTTAAGAGAAACATTAGAACACGTAGTGCACAATCGCAAAGAAAATCGCAAACGGTGTCTAGTGGGGAGACACCGTTTTAACGTATCGTCGGCTGACGCGTGGCTCGACGCCTTTCTTACACGTCGCGTCGCTGCACTATGTTTGTATTTTGTAGTTATTAACAGAACGACGGGTTTAAAACTACGGTTAAGAAGTCAGTGAAGAAACACACTTCAATTTTATTATTTTTCGGTGAGATAATTGCAGCGCCATCTACATTATAAATGGTGACTCATCAGTAAATTTATTTCAGGTTGAGGGGGAATTTTGAAATTACCCAGGAACGTGCGCAAATTTTAATCTTGGGATTAATACACTATTACAAGAATATCAATATTGAAGATTTTCATTGTTAAATGGAGCATTGAAAATGCTTTCAAATAATGTATCGCATTTTTAGGGTCAAGGCAAAATTTGATTTTTTTATACTAGGTCATGACCGCTCTCAACAGACATTTGGAAAAACTAAAGTTTTGACAGTCCATTGATCGCGGACACTGAACCAGTGTTAATTTATTGTTTATCCAAAATTGAATTGAAGTCAATCACGTCAAAAATTTCAAACAAAATTCTTTAAAATTGTGTTGAAGATTTAGGTGTTCCACTTTGATGCTAATTCTAATGAGTTTGTTTGTAGTCTTAAGGATCTTTTATCTAGTTGATATTTTTAGTCATGCACATACGGTAATAACGCCTGGTGTCTCAAACGGAGTTTTGTCTTTGACAGATCAAAGATGTTTAGAGATTTTTGGAAAAGTATTAAATCTGGTTTTGATATATGGTGAGTGATGTTTTGAATGCAAGGAAGGTTGTGGTAAAGTATATATCGTGATGGAACGCTTAATATATCTAATGTGGAAATTGTTAGAGAAGATAATAGATGTTAGGTATTTTTATTTTCTGGGTTCATTGACTAGGGGAAATTTCTAAACAACCAATAGTTTTAACCAATATAGGAATCAATAATCCCCCCAACCGCCCCCCCCCCCCCTCAAACAGTATGTAAGGAGTAATCCAGAAGATTTGTAAATATTATTAACCTTGTTGCCTAACTTATGTTATTATTTCATCCTGTTTTTATTATCAAGGATTTTATACCAAAGCTTTTGAGGATTTTTTTAAATTATTATTTGGGAGACTGATGAGATTCATTCATTAGATTATACGAAGTCATTTCAATAACACCCCGCATGACAATAATCATTAAATTACAATTACCTCTTTGTTCTCCTGTTCCTGCGGATCGCTGAACTTGACGCTATGCGTCCTGTTGGCTTCCTGTTCTTGCCAATCTTTCTCCGAACTGGTGTCGTCTTGGGTGCTCTTCGTGGAAGCTGTATACCGGGACAAAGTTCCGTTACTAAGGCCCGCGCTGACATCGCACCGATATAAACGGCCATCGGAAGCTAGGCAGGGGCGTGAGCAAAAGCACATATAGAAATGTACAGTGCGGGAAATATATTTATACAGGCCGTTTCAGGTTTTGTCACGTAACTATAACGGTGATAGAACTTTTAAAATTAATGCGAAATTTTCTTATAAAATGCGATTAGATAACATGGTTCACATTCAACAGAGCCTCTTTATATTTGCATGAATCAGTTTGTTTTGTTTTTTATTAATTTTTATTATGTCGAACCAAATAAAAAATTTAATGCAGCCTGTATCCTGATAACTTAGCATCCAAAAAGAACATTTTGCAAAATTAACCGACAAAAAATAAAACACCCTGTATATACACTAAAAGTGAACACGCCAACAAAAGTATTAATAAAAATCCGTTCCGTGCGACTGCCACATTGTTAATGATAAGAAAGGATCCAATTACAAATGCAACTACAAGAAGCATCTAACAAGAACACAGAAATGAAAAGGAGTTTTTTTTAAATAAGCAGAACAATTATAGAAATAAAACTGCACGACCACCGAAGTTCATTTCATGATATAATACAAATATTACTTTGTTGTTGAGATTATAATTTATAGGTAGCCCAACAATAAGACTTTCGTGGTAAAATTACACAGAATTAAACAGAACTTTGTTTAATAAATATGTGACCGCTGCTAACAGCTTCAATTATTTGTTCAAGAAAGTTTTGGTTAGTTTTCTTTAAATATTAAAAAATGCAAAGATGGTTCTAAGCAAAATGATGTGGCATTACTCAAATCTTTAGAAGCAACCACTTCGTAACTTTACCAGAACACTCGGTGGTTCATTTACAACAGAACGAATCCAACGGTAATAAAAAAATAAATATATATATAAACAATTTATATATATATATATATATATATATATATATATATATATATATATATATATATATATATATATATATATATATATATATATATATATATATATATATATATATATATATATATATATATCAAAACAAAACTTAAAACAAGTCCACATTCCTATTATTTCCAAAAGTCAGAGAATTAAATACAAAATAATGCATCATAATGCACAACCAATGATGTTACACTGCCAATTTATTTTTATTGCGATGAAGAAAAAACACTTTCTTCATGCATGTTAAGCGAGATCATGCTATGAAAAGACATGGGAAATGGAAATAACAGAACACTTATAGTTCCAGTTTTAACCATACAGCTGCTACGAGCAGATATACTTGATTTTTTTGAAAACTCGCTATGTCTTTACGCCTGCTCTAGTAAACTAAAAATACTAAATACATTTCTATACCAATCTGGTTCAAAGTTCCCAATATTAAGTATTTTGCGAAAGCTGAAACTTTGGTTGCAGTGTGCGAAAGCACTTACACTTACATACTTATATAGATATACAGTATACATAGTAAACAGGATCATTTACAATGAATATCTTCACGGAACAGACAGAAATACTCAAAGTTTTATTGTGGAAATTGTGGAATATTATTTCAAAATATAAAAAATAATTAATTTCAGTTGCAATTGCAAATCAACAAAATTGTATCAATAACGTTCAGAAATTTAACTTTATTATCTGTATTTGCAAAAAAAAACAGATCAGGCATAAAACTTTGGCATTTAAAACAATAATTAAGCAATTACTGGTAAATAATATGGCGTTCCATGGACAATTAATATAAACAGTTCAAGGTAAGAACTTTCAGAATTATAGCGGTTTTTTTGGAAAACCTATATTACTTCTACATAAGTATATATAGTGTCCATTTTTGTGTATTGTGTCATAATTGTCAATTTTAAACGACCCTTTATATTATGAATTTTTTGCAAACTCCAACTAAAATTTCAGCATTCTGAATGATACAATGATTTGGGAAGGAAAAATAGAATAAAATACATGTAATATAATGTTGTCATAAGTTAATGCTAGGAGTGCCAAGCATCTTAATTTTCGAAAAGTTAACTTTTAAGTTACCATCGCTCCTCGGTATAGAGGCACTGCCTACGCCGATAATACAGGAACATTTGAAGCGAGCATGAAAAAAATGCCAGCAAGGGCCATTCAATATACATTTAAATACTTTTTTGAATGTTAAGGGGAAAATGATTCGAAAATGGCGCAACATGCAGGTTAGTGTGAGCAGGTGTATGCGCGAAAGATCATTTCTATTTGTACCAAAGATTAAACCACAGGGAAGACCCGCAATGTTTAAAATGAGACCAGGTAGTGTCACCGAGTTTATGATTAATTCGCCTACAATTCACTTTACTAATTACTCGTCTAGTCCCCCCTTTGATTCACCGTCGTTATGGACACTACATTAAGTAATAGCTATATGGCTTCAACAAAAGCATTCAAATAAACTTCAAGTGTAGTAGAATCTGAGAAAAGCGTAAAATACACAAAAGCAAAAGCACACAAACCACAAAATACTTACTAATAGTCGGTTGATATTCCTGCTGAGGCAACAGAAAACAAGTGAGAACCGTTTTTCCCGTGTACGAATCGATATCAGTCTGAAATGTCAACATCGGCTGGGCCTGGTTCTCGCTCAACCAGACTGCCTGCAATTACGATTAACTTTTACACCTAGCGAACGACGAATTAACGTCACTAGTACGTACCTTAAGCCTAAGTTGCAAAAGCGTGTAGGGTAGATATGGTAGTCTATTCCCCGACACGTCCAAAACGTGTAACCTTTTGCAGTCACCCAATGTTTCGGGCAATATAGTCAGTCTATTGTCTCGCAAACTTAATACCCCTAATTCGCACAGGTTACCTGAAATTGAAATGGATGATTCGGCGTTTCGTGAATCTTATAACCAGAGACCGGATTTGACTTGTTCCTGTAATGGCCAAGTATAGAATGTAGAAAGTAGAAATTTGAAAAAAAAAATAAGTGCATCCACCAAAACAAAATGCTGGAAATTATTTTTGGGTAGAGTTCATAGATCTCCACGAAAATTTATTTTATTTATATTAACCATAGTTACAGTACTATCTTGAACCTAAGAAAAATTCGATTCTATTTTGTTTAACGTTTTCTGCTCTATGTCTGCAAGAAAAATGGTAGGGAGTGTTTGAATATTTTCTTAAATAAACGTCCATAATCTCCCAAAAAACTTAATGCTTTTTAATAAACTTGGAGTCGCTAAATAGCTTAGGAAAATCCAATAGGCTATAAATCGTGCTATAAGTGACGTGACTGTGATTGCTTACTTCGCAACCAGGTACACTGTTGATATTAACGCAAAAAAATATTTTTCTGAAAAAAAACAACGGTATAGATTTTATGTCATTAGATAGTGAAATAAGGGCCAAGCAACCCAGTAAAAATCGCATTTCGATATATTTAACATTTAACATTTAAAATTTAGTATTTGCACTTATCCTTCCATTCATAATAAGGTTTAGTCAACTGACCAAAACTAAACAACAAATCAAGTAAAAATTTGTGAGTTTCAATAACACAATTTTAATGCAATGATTATTTCACAAATTTATACTAATTAAAACTTTTACAAGCATCAAATAATGACACGATGATGAGCAGCGTTTAGTCAGATAAAAAAAATTTTTCATGGCAGTCTTGATAATTATAAATGATTTATTTCTGTCAAATAAGATGTTTTATTCATTTTTTAAATAGTTTTTCCAAATTTTACCACTTAAATACATCAACAGTAAATAAAATCAGTTAATCTCCAACAATTGATTAGTGATGGAGTCAGTGAATAAACGTAATTTTTCATGGAAAAATAAGAGATAATACTAAATATTTCAAGATAGCTAAGCAAGTCAAAGTGTAAAAAAATCAGCTACGGGGTAATTTGTAGCCAGTCAAGTGAATTATAAGGAGAATAATAAACATAAATCACAACATTTTTTTTAGGGCAAAATTCTTTTATGGATATTTTAGATTAGAATAAAGATATTAAGTTGAAATTTTCAGCAGGTGGTTGAACACTTATTTAACAATGTAATGACAAAAACAAACATCTTGTTGCATTTCTCTTGTTTTTAGATCTTTTTTCCGCGATTCTGTCAGAAAAATCCACCGGGTTTCACCACAATGGCAAAACTCGTAGAACTATTGATAACCTAGGAAATATTTGAATACCCACCACCACTTTCTTTGCATTCCTGCGTTAAACAAAAAAGGTTTGAATTTCTCTAATCTTTAATAGAGTACTCTCATTCTATTTCCTCAGAGACCACAAGGGATCATTTGAGGTTCACTGTTATTATGCGAGATCTAAAATATGCATAAACCGAGCTTTAAAATTCAACACCCAGTACAATAGGTCTGAGTAAGTGGGACTCATATAGGAAACTGTTTTAAATGAATTCAAGAAGAAAAACTTATCTTCATATAAAACTTTGCATGTTCTAAAATCTTAAATGCAGTCATCGCATATCTTTTTTTTCCTTTTACGTTTACGACTTTAGTGAAAAATATTAATTTCACTCAAATTACTGCGACACTGTATACAAACCATAAATGTTTTAAAGAAAAAAAAACAGTCAAAATGCATACTGTTGATTTATTTTCGGATTAGAAAATGAAAGAACATGGAAAGTGGTTGTAAAACATAATTTTTTTGTGTTTTCTCACAAAACTATCCAACAAACTAATTAGGATTTCAAGTGTTCACTCTTAGACTTTATGCTTTTTTCTCCTCTCTCCTTTCTATGAAAGTATACACCGATCTAGCGTTTTGGAAGTGTCATTTTACCACGTCAATTTCGTTTTCCACGGATTCGAGCCACTTCCGAAATTTCCGGGATATTACCGCCCGGTTTGAAAGCAAATCGGATATTTACGGAGATGTACGGCTCTAATTTTGACGATTGTCCATTCTAACGGTCATGTCAATGAATGTATTCGTGTTGTTTTGCAAAAACGTATCCAAACACTAACGGTTGTAGAAAAATTATAGTATGCAACGCGTTTGGTAAACATTTTAAGTCACTCGTTTATTAAACAAACACTCGCACGGCCGCGAACTTCGTTTTAACTATCGAGAAGAAAAAAATGTATGTCTTACCGAACCGGACCACAAGTGTTGCTCAAATTATTAATAATTACGTCTTAAGCATGCATTGATATGCAGGATGGCACAAAACATATTTTAGTAGCGTTAATCGCTAAAAATAATTCTGCATGTAGCGCTCTCAACATATGGGGAAAAAATTGATATCTAATGTGTCATCCTCACTTAAACTTTTGAAAATTAATAAAAAATTCGAAACTTAAATAAACAATTGACTAATATAACTATTAACTATTTGGGTTAGTTTTGGTTAGTTGTGGTTAGACTTTCTTATAATGTAAAACACCCTGTATTGAAAATGGGCACGGTCTGGAACAAGGTATATTTCACAGGTTTGAGATCATTACCATAACTTCAAACATAGCTTCAAACATAAAACTTTTTTTTAATTGTGTAAAAAAAGTGTCTTTTCCCGATACTCACAGATAAGATTGTATAGAGACTTACCAATTTCGTCAGGTACATTGGTCAAACTGTTCCTATCTACATTTAAATTGGTGAGCCTCACTAATTTACCAATTTCGCTAGGCAGCTCGCTTAAAAAATTCTCAGTGAGAATAAGCTCTTGCAAATTGTAACAACAGCCAATGTTGGGGTTAAGTGAAGTGAGCCTGTTTTGGTCCACCTAAAAATAAATAACATCAGCCATTCATCGTTGAATTTGTTTTAGTTGTATGTTATTATATTTTGTAATTTTCAAATTCCATCTCATTCTGGGTCTCTGAGGGAAAAATTGGTATCATGTGATTAATAAATATATATAAACCAATTAATGGCAATGCGAAACGATGTGTTCTTCACCTTCAGGATTGTAAGTTTCTCTAACTTTCCGATGCCATCGGGTAGCGTCTCCAGGACATTCTGCGACAAATGCAAATCGGTAAGACTTTCGAGGCCTGCGACATCGTCTGGCAAATATTCCAAACGGTTCTCGCTCAGATCCAGACACGTCAGATTACTTAACTGACCAATCTCCGAAGGCAGTGACTGAAGCTGATTATGGTCAAGCCATAATTCCTGCAGTGCAGGCAGTTTACCAATGTGCGGGGGCTGAAATTATATTATTAAATTTATTTTGTTTATATAACTCAATTTCAATTTAATTTAAACTTCTACAGGGTACTGTAACACTATTTACAAAGCTTCTGGATTCCTCCGGCGTCGGTTGTTGGTGTTCTGCATTCTTACTGCGTCGCCTGTTGAAGGATTGAAAGAACATAAAAGAGCTTTAAAACTAGGACAAATAAACTCATCAGCAGTTGCCGAAGACAATCACGAAACCGAACATCAAATTTTGTTCAATAAAACTAAAATTCTTGCAAGTAATCAATTATCCAATCAAATGTTCGAGAATCCAAAGAAATCTCTAAACAACCAAATAATCCAGAAGTTTTGTAAATAATAAGAATTCATCATACCCGTAAATAAATAGACCAAATCCATAAGACTTTTACGTGTTAAAATTGGAATCCAGAATAACATTCACAATTTTGAAAAACTAACCTCAACACAAACGAAACCACCAACCTCTTCTCAACTACCAAACATATGTAGGGTTGCACCATAAATCCATTCTTTCAAAATATTCCAACTTCATCCTTGTCAACGGATCATCCCAAAAGAGAAAATAATTTCAAATGACCAATCTATCCTAAACAAATAATTCTAATAAAATTCGATTTGAACGTGCAAAATCCAAATCTCCAAAATCTAATACTCCGAAACCTGAACAAAAAGCTTTAAGATCTGTAAAATCTAATACCAACATAGTAATTTTGAAAGCAGATAAAAGAAATGCTGCAGTAGTCGCGATCACCACTGACTGCCAGATTCATCCCATCATCAACTTAAACAACTGCCCTTCAAGTTTCTTCTTAGAACCCGTGAAAAAATCAGTCAGCCCTCACGACTCGTTCTACGAACCACCTAAAATTCACAAACCAGGAACAAGAGAAAAAATGATAGTTTCATACTTCATTCCTCTCATTTATCGAACAATTCAAAAGACAACATTCTTGAAATTCTCAACATTATTTCAGATATATTAAAATCCGAGAATCTAGAATCAAACTTAATTTTACTTGAATTTGCTTGCCCAGAGCATATTGTTTTTGTAAGCGTTTGACACTTTCCGTCTGAAATCAATACTATGGAAAAGCTATATCAATAATACTTTTGTTATTTGAACTCATTGTTAAGAATTAGAAAAAATAATCTCCCATTCCTAGATATAATTAATAAAAAAATAGACCCAACATTTAGTTATTCAATTTACAGGAAACATATGCCCAAAGACCACAAACCTTAATGCATTGTCATGTCACTATCCCGACCAAAAATTATCTTGACGCGTAAACTATCTCAACCCAAAACACTGAACCCACAATCTGGAGAAACAAGACGAAAAATATCCAATATAAGCAGGTAGGGAGTGAATATCCAATCAGTATAATTTAAGCTCTGAAGAAACCAACAGGATGTTTTTCAAAACGCAACAAGTTCGATTGAACAACAAGAGACGCAGGAACAATCCAGAAGATGTGAAAATAGAATTATTTAAAAAAAACTGAAAACTGTAGAATAACAATACACTACAACAATTTCTTTTCAACGATACAAAAACTGTTGTACCTAATAAAATGTTTTTTCGCATTTTCTCCATTAAATCCAAAACCATAGTACGCTTTACGAGCTTAAAATAAAATATTATGAGTATGCGTTACGGACAGTTTAAATTGTATTTTTGACAGGATTTGACGTGCAAAAATAGTATTTACAGTATGAAAAGGAAATATTGAAGGAATGTAATATAAAAATATGTTTATCGGGTTGTGGAGTAGTTCCTTTTATTTATTTTTGAGTATTCTTTACGGGCAAAAATCTTTTTTTTTTAATAATTTTACTTAAAAAGGTTGGCGAAACGCATAGTTTTCATGCCTTTTTTGCCTGTTACCAAATTGTTTTTTTTTTCAGGGCGAATCATAAATATTAGCAGAAACGATCTCTTTGAAAAATTAACAACACCTGATAAATTTCATTCAACCCATAGAGATTACTTACTAGATTATTTAACTAAACATATCATAGGCCTTATTGGAAACGAACTGATATATAGTATACGATTATGAATATCAGCAAAATCAAAGGGACTCAAACAATTATACCCCAGTTACCATCATATTATCGAAACCAAGAAGAAATCTATCATAACAATGGAAATATCAGCAGCAACAAGTTTGCAAGTATTGTCAGACCACACGGTGAAGCGAATCGCAGAAGTTCAGAAAGAAGTCTTTTTATCGACTTTTGATTCTTCTTTCTTCAAGAAGAAATCTATCATAACAACTGAAATATCAGCAGCAACAAGTTTGCAAGTATTGTCAGACCACATGGTGAAGCGAATCGCAGAAGTTCAGAAAGAAGCCTTTTTATCGACTTTTGATTCTTCTTATGACTGTAATATTAAATTACAAATGATGTACAAATGGAGTGCTGACGGTAGTGGCAGTATAATTACATACCAACAAAGGTTTGAAAATAATGAATCAGATGATTCGAATATTTTTATTACATCTATGCAGTGTAGTTTTGAAATCGGTAATAGTAAAAAAAATATTTGGCAAAATGTTCGCACATCTTCCACGCGTTTGTGTAGACCTGTGATGGTTCAGTTTCTTAAAGAAACTGATTTTGTCAATAACAATGAATTTGCATATATAGAGTCTCAAATTAAAGACCTTTAATCTAAAGAAATATGCTTTGAAGAAAAAAACATTTCTACTAGCTATCAGTTGCTCAAAACTATGGTTGATAGAAAAATATGTAACTCTCTATGTCAAATTCGTCCACTCAAAAATGTTCTGTGGTGCCGGCTCCAAATACTTATCATACTTATATACTTATATAATATTATTGAATCGCTTGCTCTTAACTTTATCATCTCTACATGATTATATTCGCTTTTTCGAATGTCTGTTACATATAGCATACAGGCTAGAGTTTAAAACTCGGCAAGTGCGAAAGGATAAAATGGAATTGTTTTTAATGAAAAAAAAAAACATATAGGCGAATGTCGGAAAAAAAATCTTCCCTTGCTGCTATGCTACTATTAGTATCAGAGTAGTCTGGATTTAGGTGCACCAATCACGGAAAACTCGTCGTTTCCGAAGTCATTTATCGGTTTAGTGTTGTCTTAATATACAGTTTTTTATAATGAAAAAAATAGAATGAACTACTTATGACATTTTTATCATCCTAAATCACTGTGCAACGTATTCAAGAGTCGAGCACGGGAACTAAACGCTTACCAGTTCCTCGATTTCATTGTCCCCTAGATCGAGCCTTTCCAGATTGGTCAATTGGCTCAGCGATGGCGGTAATTCCTTGAGCAAATTTTCTCTAAGCTCGAGCGACGTCAACGACGACAGACCGCCGAAATCGGTTGGCAAACTGGTCAGCGACATGTCGTTAAGTCCTAGCACGGTCAGATTCTTCAGTTGGGAGAATGCGGGCGGAAGACGAGCGATCGGATTTGAGCTAAAGTCGGCGACGCGCAATAAGCGCAGCTGCCCGATACTTTCGGGTATATCCGGAATATCTGTAAAAGGACGACCAGTATAAATAAAAAATCTAAAAGCAATTTTTGCCTAAAACAAAGTTATCCATAATCGGAGATTGTGGGTTTAAACATCGGTTCCACCTGTGCAATTCCTTGCAACAAAAATAAATAGGGAATCTCATTCAAAAAATAACCTAATTATGACGTGTAAAATAAAAGTGGTAAATCTAAAAACACTGCTGTTAGCATTTTTAAATTCTGTTCAAAAACACCCCAGATATTGAATTTTATCGTTCTGCATTTTCAAATACCCCCACCCATCTATCGTTCCAGCTTTGTTAGTTTTCGATATATTTAAGCGTTCCGGTACTACTAACCCGGTATGTTACCGGTATTTTTTATATCTGTGTACTCACCTCGGGGGTTAAGGGAAGTCAGCGAGAAACAAAAGTTGTAAAATTTTTGCAGTATTAGATTCGTAAAAAAAGAAGTTGAGAAACAGTAGCAAGTTTTTTATTTTTAAATGAAACACCCTATATATTTCTTGTTATGGCGAAAGATCTCTTCCTTCCTGATTTCAAAGATATATAGATTGATGATATTTGGATGAACCGTTCTTAAATTATTGAGGTTTAAATTTTTGATTAACTCGGAAGTAAATGATAAATCGCATTAAAAATAAAATCTGGATGATCTCTCGGTTTCTTAAAAATCCACAAAGGAAAATATCAAGAGAATTTAAATCTGGGCGTTTAGCCGGACAATGAATTTTGCTATGTCTGCCTATCTAATCCATATCCATATCTGTCATTTAGGTATTCAGTAACTGGATCGGTATTGTGGAGCGGTGCCCCATCTCGTTGCCAAACCAGTCAATAAGATGTTATTTTGAATTAAATCTTAAAATAGATTGCCTGTCAGATATACATCAAGCAAAATCGGTCCAATATCAGACCTTTATTATATGCCTCGACATTTCTTAACAATATTGTAACCGTTCAATTTTATTTCCTTCAGGTAAGCCTTAAACTAGAATAAATTTCTAGGGGTGAGATTTAGAATATTTTAAAGTGTACCGAATCTTATGTTGTTTGTTATATGTATATGTTACATATAAGTTATATGAAATTAATTTTATTTTTAATTATTATTCAAAATAGAACAAAATATTCATGTCGTCATCTTTATTTCTAAAACGATTCTCGTTTTTTGAAAAGAGACTTTTGGTTTCATTAAATTTCCGGATAATGCGTTTGATTGTGTCAGCTGGCGGTACCCGTCGCCCAGGATTAATCTGACAATATTGCCGTCGAACTGCAGCTATTCTATTGTTATTGGAATCAAAAAGGCGAACTACTTGAAGCTTTTCTTCCTGTGAGTAACCCATTTTCCTAAATGAGTATTGACAATTGACTAGACAGTGTGCGCAGTGTCTAATTCTACAGAATTTTATAAGACGGTTTGTGAATCAATGAAATTACATACATTATGAAGTAATAAGAACTATAAGAATGTGTCTCTATCATTTGACGAAAGAGAAAACCTTATATGCTCAGGCATTAATGTTTGACCATACTCCATTATTGCCAAGTTGTATCTTCACCTGTCCCCTATAATTCTATCAATTACACTCAACAAGAAAACAAACTAACCAAATACTTACTTGCAGAAAAGTATGTGATATAATGATAGGAGAGAGGTCAAGGTATAACTTGGTAACAATATATACTAGACTAGCATGTAAAGCGTTCTCAAATAATACCGATTAAAAAGGCCGTATGTACAATTTTGGACAAAGTTTATATTAACGTTTGTATAAAGTTCGTTTTGCATTATTTGTCTATTTACATCTATCTGTTATGTATATTTATACGTACTACGCCCTTTAGTGTGCAAAACAGATGAATTGCAGGGCATTACGTGACATTGTGGGAAATTGGAATGGAAGGTAGTGGAATTGTGGGAATTATGTGCTACCATAAGCTTTATTTAAATTAAGTTTCAAAAAATTTTTTTTTTCATTTTTATCAAATCAAACAATAAATAAGTTTACTAATGTAAATTTCTATTTAGTTTTAACACTTCGTAGACCGAATAAAAGTATTGAACTTATGTGAAGTCCATCAGACTTTTTGTAACCTCGTTAAACATACGAGATAATATTGAAAATACGGAAATACGAATTTGTTATATTTATTGCACTGGTTTTTTTTTTATAAAATTTTCTTTCTGGCGAATTATATACATTGCGTGGGTTAATTTATCTTCATGATATTTTGATTCCCTGTAACGAGCCTGGAGTCATATACCACCCTATGATTTAGCCGTTCTTTTGTTTTACTAGCAAGAGTAATTTAAGAAAAAAAATTGCCGATGAATGGAACCAAAAAAACTAAGTTAAAAATCAGGGATTTAGAGCCACAAACAAACAAAATTAAATGTTTTGGTCCCTTTCCAATGAGATATTTCGAATAACGTGTTTCACGAGTAGATTTTTTTTTGTGGGGAAGCTAATCCAATCGTACGGCACGTCCGAAATTAAAGGGCCACCATTTGCATCTCGATTGTTATTGGAGATAGCGTGAAGATTAAGTTTTAAACAATATAATTTGTAATTAAATCGCACGTATTGAAAGATTCTAGAAACGTTGGTGAAATTTTGGTTTTTGTTTTTGTCTTGTGATATTTTACTGAGAACGTTTTGTTTTTTTTTTTGGAACAATCATGAACTTTGTTTTTAAATACAGACCTGGATTTTTTATTTTGAGAGGTTCTGATGCTCGTTCTGATATCCCAAAACTAAATGATGTATCGCAGTTATTGCATTTTTTTTATTCTCTAGCAAAAGTGATAAAAATAATAAATTCTTGATTGATTCCGATTCTAGGACATCAAGGGTTTTTAAAATAAAAAATTGAAAAACCAGATTCATATTTTTAAAAAAATGTCATGGTTCCCAAAAAACGAAACGTTTCCGAGCCGTTGGGAAATAATTTCTCCCAATCTTCTGAAATGAAAAAAAAATCCAATAATACCTATCACACTCCAGAAGTAATCCTCTATTATAGATGTCCCACCCATATTTTTTTGACCCAATTTGAAAAGACCATGCCAAAATTCTTGGAAAACCTTCTGCTTCGGCTGCAACTTTAGAAAATGTTACTCAAAAAGAAATAAAAGCGATAGAAAAATATGTGCCTGACGAACTGGCTAGTGTAATACTTTTACTACTAATACTTTACTACAGGAAACCTGAAAAATTTGTGTTTACTCCTGGAACCTTATTTCCCTTATATATTTTTTACGGCAAAAAAATGATTTATACCAAAAAAACCTCGATTATGACAGGAGCCTGCCAGTATTAAAAAGCAGCTTTTCAGCTAAGGAACATGTTTTACTCGTTACACTGACAGCTTCATCACGAGCGCATTCAGGGCATTCGTAACAAGAAACTGCAATGATGTAAGTACTATAATCAACTTGACAGCACCACCAAAATAAGATTTATAAGAGAACTTTTTATTTTGCAAAGTAAAGTTGGAGAAAAGACCTTTATTTTTTAATTTATATTAATACAATGCTACCTTCTACGAATAATTTTTAATTTAAGTTGGTTTAGGGTTGTTTCCAGCATCCAAATTATGTAATAAAATGCGAATTACAACGTGAATAGGGCATGCAAAGAGGATACCAAAAGTCTGTTCGTCTGGATTTCAGATGCCGTATACTGCCGGGGAAGATTTTTTGTGGACAATTTGTTCTCAACAAGACTGTTTCGTAGGGTCCGATTCCGTTGTTGAGTCCACAATGAGGTTCAGATGAACAGGCTTCTGGTAGCCTCCTGGCATACTCTATTCACATTGCAATTCGCATTTTATTACATAATTTGGACGCTGCAAACAACCCTAAACCAACTTAAATTAAAAATTATTGATATTCTTATTAATATAAGTATATTAAAAAATAAAAGTATTTTCTCCAACTTTGGAAAATAAAAGGTTCTCTTATAAATCTTATAAATTTGATAAAATTGCTTCTTAGGTGCTAATTATAGGTTTCTGATTATCTTTGGTAAATAGTTTTATATGCAAGCTAATTTTCTAATAATTCTTTTAATGTCAGAAGGTTAGGAGAAATTATTTTCCAATGGCTCGGAAACGTTTCGTTTTTGGGACCTTCACATTTTTTTTTAAATATGAATCTGGATTTTCAATTTTTTATTTTAAAAACCTTTGATGTCCTAAAATCGGAATCAATCAAGAATTTATTATTTTTACCACTTTTCATAGGAACTTAATGTGATCGAGTGAGAAATAAAATAGATTTTTGATACGACCTTGCTAGAGAATAAAAAAAATGCAATAAGTGCCATACATCATTAGTTTTGGGATAACAGAACAAGCGTCAGAAGCTATCAAAATAAAAATCAAGATCTGCATTGAAGAACAAAGTTAATGATTGTTCCAAAAAAAATAAAAAAGTTCTAAATAAAATATCACAAGACAAAGACAAAAACCAAAATTTCACCAACGTTTCTACAACCTTGCAATAAGCGCGATTTAATTGAAAAGTCTTGATGAAACTACCTTATTTTTTTCTAGCGTTCTTAATTTCTGAGTTAAGGGGTTAGGGAACCTGATTTTCGACACCTTGTATACTTTCTTTAGTGTCTAATCTAGTGCTTATATTGTACCTACGTAATCATTAAATAAATGAATACATTTAAACTAGTCAATTATCCTGAATTGGAAAGAAAGTGCACCAACCAAAACTAAAATTCCTTTTTCAAAATTCTAATTGCATAATAATTTTACAAATAATATCCAATATTTTTTTGTTTTGTTTAAATTAATGTAATCCAAATGGAGAATTTCAATTGAAAATCCGATGAACAAATGCGACGACAGAACTTAACTGTCCGGTCGATTGAGTTTTCAAATTGAAATCCGCAAATAGCATATCGCAGAGGAGTGGGACTTTTTTCTATTTAACTGAAAAATGAAAATCAAGCTGGAGCCGATACCACGGCGAATTGAAATTCCCGTCTACGAAAGCGACGGCAGTTTTTTTCGTCCCCTTTCAATTTCTAATTTGCAAAAGGAAATAGGGTAATTGAAATATAGTTTATTATAAAATACCAGGTGTTTCCGTAGAGCTTAAATTAAGCAAAACACAATTGTGGTATAAAAAACTTCTATATTATTTTGGATCTGACGCTTTCTCACAGATCACATGGATTCCGCTTTTGCCAGACACTACTGCAAGTTTCAATTATTAACCAACATGCTTTATAGCATTTTTCGATTCCCGAAAACTTCCTGTGACCAATGGTGAGCCACTAAAAAAAATATCGACTCCATTTGGTGCCCAGAACGACGCGACGACGACGTAAAACACAATAAAAATAAATTTAATTGTCTTAGTATTTTTAAAATTATTTCGGTCAATTGACCAGTCGATTCAGCGGTCAATTAACACAAAAAAAATTGACCGGTCGATTCCACAACCTTAGATATAGCCCATGGTGCTTCATTTCATTTTAAAAATCTATTGTGAACCTCAAAACAAAAGAAAAAATTGTGTGTTCCCTTTTATATCATCAAATTCAAAAAGAAAGAACGGATGGGTTCTGTGAAAGTGGTCTATTTTGGGCTTTACAGACAAAAATAGAAAATCCAACTTTTCATATTTTTTCAACTTCTCAGAAACGATTCAAGCTGCAATAATCACTTTGACGGTGGATTTAAGTTTCTCATAAAATTCTTTCTAAACACAAACCCTGTATCTCCCCTATATCTGCTTATCTTGGGCAATATAAGCAGATATAAAATATAGATACAGAATAGTTGATAAAATATTGGGAGTTCAAATTGAAAAAATGAATGCAATTTTCAATATTTTTGTTTCCACCGGTATAATTGCACATTTTGAGAACCCCTGTGTATAAGAGAGTGAACCTGTCTTCATAAATGCAAACAACTACATTTTCAACCCAATCACCATGAACATCTAACCTGCCGGTGAATCCACCCCATATAATCAGCATCAGAAATAGTTTTCTTTGGGTCAGCAAAGCCTTTAAATCTATTGCCTCTTGCTTGAAAAAATAAATTTAAACATTTTATGACAGAGAGAATTTTTGAAAACGCTAGTAAGCTCTAAGTTGTTTTAAAAGTTAAGATTAACATCGATTTTACTCTACGCAAATTAGAAAATACCAACAAATAGGGTAAATAAACAAAACATTTCCATATTTATATAAATGTGAGAAAGACAATAATCCCCGTTACTGGTGCTATTTTTCTATTGTAAAATTTGTCTCATTCCTATCAGGCCTTTGCAATTTCAGTTAGTTTTAGGTTAATATTCACGTGAAAGAGCTTACCCCAAAAACTGTCAACAATTGTAGAATGCTAAAAACTAATCAGCGTACATAAGAAAATAAGCCGTTAGTGAGATCTGAGAGATGGCAGTTCGCAGGTTATATTTCATAAGGAAAGCTCAGTGACCACTGCCAAATTAAATCAAATACAACCGTGTTTCCCTCCACTACATAAATAATATACAAGCAAATCATATACACTATAGCAAATCGATGAGGATAAACTGAACATACTACCAAGAAAAGAAAATTGTTGCATTAATCAGCTCCTTTAAATAAGCCATCTACAGCAAAAAGAGTTCATATTCTCACCATTTCTAGAAACATCTAATTCGACGAGATGTTCAAAATTTTGTATATCAGGAGGCAGCCTATGTATTTCATTATCACTTAATCCCAATTTTCTTAAACGATGAAGTCGAAAAAAGTTCTAAAACATTACATGTAATTAGTCAAAATCCTCACAGAATTTTTGAATATACCTTTGGAAGATCTCTAATGTGGTTGGCATCGAGTAAAAGCTCCTCCAAACTGCGTGAATACCGCAAAATATCCTCAGGTACGTTCGGAAGGGAACAATGTCTCTTATCAACATATTCGACTTGTCGATTACAACCCTTAAAAATCGGTATACATCGAAACATTTTGGTTAACTTATATTGTCGCGCATATCTCAAATTATTGTTCACATTCACATTCAATAATTGATGACTTTAATAAAGTTACGAAATAAAACACGGGTTTGGTTTCCACCTTCCTATCACATCACCGTTGTCTTTCTAGCACCACTCCCGCTCCTATCGGAAATCTAAAAACCAAAAACCCTGCTTTGTGGAATGCAGTCTGTGACTATTGCCAACAGTGAAAAAAATATCGTCCGCTTATGTGCCACTGCTACTTTTTCGAGTTTTTAAAATCAAAACCAAAGGAAGCAATCCTGTTTTTTTCTTTCATTTACCGTATAAATGTTGAATTAAGATTATGGTTAAATATAAACCTAAATGATAAGTTACGTACACAAAGCTTTAAAATTTACATGGAGTTTTTAATGTTGACTTTAGTGGACTATGCTTGTTTTGATGGTTTTTTAAAACTGATGCAGAGTACCGGTTATCTTTTGGCTACATATATGTTGAATTTAAATCAGCTGTCGAAAGTCTACATTTAAAGAACAAGCGGCAACCACAAAAGGCCGCAACGCTTTGCAACTACCGCTAGATGTCACCGAGTTTATTTGACATATTCAAAACTTTATCGTAATCAAACCCTGTTCACTCTCCGAAATATTTCATACCGCGTTTATTTGTTTACATCCCGCCAAACAGATAAATTTTGACAGAAATTGGTTTATATTTAAAATTCGCATCCGTCCGCATCTATGGTCCGTAAACCAAACACTATAATATAGTTGTCTATATTCGCCGGGTATTCGCATGGTGAAGATGACTTAGGTTTGGGTAGTAGTGAGATTTTTTGGATTTTTTGAAAATTTTGTCGTTGCAGTGATTTTGCTTCTTTGATAATAATATCATAGGTAAGTACAACTAAAAGCATAAAGGCAGCACTGTCTTATTCTCATCTCAAGCTTAATTTTATTGATAGTCTAAATTCGCCAAAGGGGTCATAGGAATATTAACCCTACAGTTTTCGATTTCCAAAGTTATTATAAGAGCCTTTTGGTGACTGTTATGTCTTCCAAACAAACAAACAAAGATCAAAAAAAATACCGATATCTACAAAGCAAGATCAGAAGTAAAATTAGGGAAGCCAAAGAAAACTGGCACAGGGAAAAGTGTGAGGAAATCGAGAAATTACAAAGTAAACATGATGGTTTTAATGCGCACAAGAGAATTAAAGAGTTAACCAACAAACGCAATTACAATAACAACTTGCTGGTGGATGAAAATGGAGATATTATTATGGACACAAAAGAAAAATTGAAAGTATGGAAAAACTATGTAGAACAACTGTACGAAGATCAGCGAGATGAAGAAAGTAGTGAGTATGTATGTGATGATATTGGACCAGAAATAACGAAGGACGAAGTAGAACACATCATCAAGGAAATGAAAACCGGGAAAGCTACGGGACTGGATGAAATACCAGCAGAAGTTCTTAAACTCATTGACAATCATAACATACATCTTCTAACACATCTCTTCAACAGTGTATACAAAACTGGAATTTTACCGAAAGAGTGGCTACAATCAACATTTATAACTATCCCCAAAAAGACCAACGCAAGACAGTGCTCGGACCATCGTACCATCAGCTTAATGTGTCACATACTTAAGGTACTTCTGAAAATCATCCATCGCAGAATATATAAAAAGTTAGAAATAGATATTGAGGATACGCAGTTCGGTTTTAGGAATGGACTAGGGACTAGAGAAGCACTGTTTGCCTTCAACGTATTAACGCAGCGGTGCTTAGATGTAAATCAGGATGTGTACGTTTGTTTTCTGGACTACAATAAGGCATTTGACACCGTCCAACATAAATCACTCATAAGACTGCTTAAAAGTAAAAACATTGACTCTAGAGACATAAGAATAATAAATAATTTGTATTACCAACAAGAGGCCGTGATAAGGGTACACAATGAGGTGACAGACAGAATAAAAATAAAAAGAGGTGTTAGACAGGGATGTGTCTTATCACCATCTCTGTTCAACCTATACTCCGAAGAAATATTTAAGAGAGCACTCCAAGATGAAACAGCTGGAGTAAAGATTAATGGCTTACCCGTTTGTAATATTAGATATGCCGATGACACCGCGCTAATAGCAGAAAATATGGATGATCTACAGAGAATTACGAACAAAATTGTAGAAGTAAGCGAAGAGTTTGGGCTATCACTCAATACAAAGAAAACTAAATTTATGATAATTACAAAAAAATCTATTATCAATACAAACCTTTATATAAAGAATGAACAGATAGAACAAGTAAGGAATTATAATTATCTGGGGACGAACATTAACGAGACAAATGACTATTCCAAAGAAATCAGAATAAGAATAGAAAAGTCCAGAAGTGCTTTTAATAATATGAGGAAATTGTTGTGCAGCAGGGATTTGAGCTTTAGTTTGAGAGTGAGGATGCTTAAATGCTATGTTTTCTCGGTCCTCTTGTATGGCGTGGAGGCCTGGACTTTGAATAAACAATGCCTGAATAAACTAGAAGCTTTTGAGATGTGGACGTACCGAAGAATTTTAAGGATATCCTGGACGGACAGAATGACAAACGAACAAACGAACAAGTACTTGTAAGGATGGACAAGCAACGTGAAATAATGGATACGGTCAAAATAAGAAAATTGCAGTATCTGGGGCATATTACACGCGGAGAAAAATATAAATTGCTACAACTGATTATGCAAGGTAAAATCCAAGGTAAACGGAGTATCGGAAGGAGAAGGATGTCATGGTTGCGTAATCTGAGAGAATGGTTTGGATGTAACTCCAACCAATTGTTTCGTGCTGCAGTCTCAAGGATACAAATTGCATTGATGATTGCCAACCTTCGCAGCGGAGATGGCACGTGAAGAAGAAGATGTCTTCCAAGCAGTCTGTTGGAAACAACTGTAAAGTTGATCAATCAGAATTATTCTTCACATTACAAAAACTTATATCGCAGGTACTTAATTATATAATAATATGTCATAATAATAATAGGTATGTGATAATAATAATAATAATGTCTTTTTCGTGTGTACGTGTTTATTATTTTGTTGTCATTTTAGGAACTTCCAAAAGATGAGGTCGTTACACTTCCGCAGTTCACATAAATACCTGCAAATTTACCTACTCCTTTAAAACTTACAGAGGAAGGAGCAGGTATGTTGCTGGGTACCTAGGGAAGGAAATTGGAAAACAACCATGTGACTGCAAAAAGCAATTTTTCAAAATTGGTGAAAAAGAGGAAGAGGAGGAGAACTTTTTAAAATACAAGGAGTATGCATTTTTAAGCAAAATTCGATATGCTCTTGCCATCATGAAATACATTTTTTAAAATGATTTTCATAAACCTGGTGTTTGCATTACAAACACTTGCTAAAAATGTCATATTAACGCCATGTTTTCATGATAACAACATGAAAAGATAGTTTTTCATATTTATTAAAAATACAGGCACAAAATTATTACACGCAAATAAACAGAATATCAAGGGGTTTAGATATGAGACATATCCCTGCAGATACGTCAAAAACGTTTATTTCTGCTAGAAAAATTTACCAGGCTAGCAGCAAGCGATGCCGCATGTAAAAGTATCTCAAAATCGGTGTCCCCTCTGTATGTAGGTATTTTAAGAATCATTCACAATACCCATTTCTAACATTAGTAATATTTAGTTTACTTTTACTAGTTTTTGAGTGCAATCATTCGCATACGGTCGCCCATATCACGAATAGGCTTAATGCGAAAAAATCACAAATGGGCTTATCTTTTTTTTTTGTAAGAATCTCAATAATTAAAACAAAAAAAATATCTACTTAACATAGTTAAATAGTACCTGCTCACATATACATTTTGTCCAAAAAAGAACTTCGGTTAGCACTTAATCAAAAATAGCAAGAAATCTTTAACCGCTTCTCCTGAAAAATAAGAAAAACCAAGTAGGCGGCTTTGTGTTTTGGTTAACGATACTTAGAGAGGACAGTGATTTATTGGGATGCAGTATACATTTGAAAACGGTTAAAAATGTCCCGCCTCATTTACTCTTCTCACAAGTTACCATATAGTCTGTCAGTTAACAACAAAAAGTAATAAAATTGTATAAGGATATAGTACCCAAATTACTTCTGCTCGTATGTAACAGAATGATATTTCTTGAGTATAATATATGGAAACATATATTTACTGAAATTTCCATAAAAATATTATGGTGAAATACAGGTTTGACTTGGGTATTACTTTCTCTTTCGAAGAGACATATAATAGGTTGATTCTACAATAATAGTTACTATATTTAATTATTAATTATTTGCATAGTGTATTGGATCATGTTAATACTGAATTGAATAAACCAATAAATCTTTTTGTTATTTTATAAATTTCAACCAATATTTTGTTAATCATATGATTTCCTTTTTTTTTCCTAGATTTATCCTCAAAAATTGAGATGCTGAACAGAAAATCCCGTCAATCCTTTTTTTCCCTAGATTTATTTACCCTTAATATAATTTACAATTATTGCAATTATAATCGCACACATTTTTAAATTTCGAATTTAGAAGAAGGAATTTGGTTCTGAACTTCTGTATTAGTTTCTTACATCGCGCTAGATGGCGTCAGTAATGCTGTTTCAATTCTCCAAGAGTAAAGTTTGCCATCTACTACCAATATAATACAGTTGTCTATGATCGTTATTTAATGGCTAAGGGAAAGGAAGAGAGGAATACATTTAAGAGGTGCAATGTTTTCGACATTGACAAAGTAATGGAACAGTTTGACAACTATCCAGCGACGTCATAACAAAAAGTTTTAAGGCCGGTAGACACGTTGCAATTTCAACATGTATCTTTAGCAGGTAAATGTTACTGTTGAAAATGCATATATTTTTAACTGGCAATTTTTTGATGCAGTTTTTGGTGTAGAATGGGCTTGATTATTGTGGTCGGATTTTGTTTTAAATTATATTCATTTACGATTTCCCTAAGGTGAATGTGAAGTTATGTTTAATTTTGGTAAATTACCTATATAACGACTCTAGAGAATGGGCGAATGATTCTGGGGAAGGACTTAATGGTCAAATATGTTTCTGAAAATTCAATGATACTGTGGTTAAAGTTTTGAGATATTTTTAGTTCCATCGGAAAGGAATTGATGAAATATATAAAATAAATGCTAGTTTTATCCTAATACATGTACATTAGGTTGTCTATTTTGCTGTTTTTTTCTATTTGTTTAATAAAAAATATTTAAGAAAAAGTGTGTAAAGTCGGCGAACCCAGCCCATTGTCAAAGTTATAGGTTATATTGTAGGTACCCGTTTGAGCAGTTAATAATGTCTTCAGGACGCCCTATTAAATGTGTTGTTGTTGGTGATGGAACCGTCGGGAAGACATGCATGTTAATATCATATACAACAGACAGCTTTCCTGGGGAGTATGTTCCCACTGTGTAAGTATCGCATTCGGAGAGACACAGTTGACTAAAATAAAAAGATCATCAACCCTTCACTTAAGTGGTAACATTTTGATAAAGCTGGTTGTTGATTGGTCAACTCCAAATAGGTTCGACAATTATTCAGCGCCTATGGTGGTTGATGGTATCTCAGTAAGCCTAGGTCTTTGGGACACAGCTGGTCAAGAAGACTATGATCGGCTCAGACCATTGTCTTACCCACAAACAGACGTTTTCCTAATTTGCTTTAGTGTTGCCTCACCATCATCATTTGAGAATGTTACTTCAAAGTGGTATCCTGAAATTAAACATCACTGTCCAGATGCTCCAATGATATTAGTTGGTGAGAGAAATGTTTTTCGTCTTCAGTTTAATTTTAAATACAAATAAAAGTTTTTGAAAGGCTCAAAACAAATACAATGAGTTATGTAGTAATTATAATAAATAATATAGTTATTATGCAGGTACAAAAATAGATTTACGAGATGACCGGGAAACTTTAAATAATTTGGCGGATCAAGGACTGAGCCCCATAAAGCGAGAGCAGGGTCAAAAGTTGGCGAACAAAATACGCGCCGTCAAATATATGGAATGTTCTGCCCTGACGCAACGAGGGCTCAAGCAAGTGTTTGATGAGGCGGTTCGGGCGGTGCTACGACCCGAACCCCAAAAGAGACGCCAACGAAAATGCATGATTATGTAACTAAATATTATCGTGATTTTTAAAAGACTTATTTATGGCAGGCAGTAACTTTTTTATCTGATTTTTCATTAGTGAGTGATATAAAACTGCAATATACAGAGATTACTTGTTAATATAAATCTGAGGTTTGACTGGGAACAAGTTATCATTTGACCATCAATACACTCAAACGAAGATATTTGAAATTTTTTTATTTATTTGACCTCTCTGATTTTTTGGAAGGAAGTTGTATTATTTTTAACAAAAAAGCCATTGACGCAGTTTCGCATCCGATTTTTTAGAACTTGGAACCCTAGGTGATTGCGTTCATTTACATTTTTCCTGTGCCTTCTTTTATATTGCATTTCTTTTGTCTCTTTCTCGTATAATACTGTTGGTGCCTTAAAAGATCTAAATTTGCCCTTTCCTAATTAGAGAAAGTAATTCAGCAGTCAATGATATAATTATAAATTTTTATTAATAATTTTTTTTTTATATCATACAGGCTAAGTCACTCTATTCCATAGGGATATTCCCATATATATTCTTGGGTTTCAAGAAGCTTTGCTTTTTGAATATGTCGTTGGGATACATTTGGGTGGTACCTAAACCTTATGGTTTTGTAGCCTATTTTCAGTGTTTTAAATGTTTAGAAGGTATTAAATTACAAAATACAATAAGTAATGACACCTCTAAACATTGCCTATAAAGGCCCCGAGATACATAGTGTAAGCAAACAGTTCACATGCTAACAAAACTAAACACTTAAACTTTTCAATTTTATATTTTATTTAATGTGTCTTAATTTTTTTAAAGAATAATTGATTATTGGACGCTAAAGCCACAATTACAGGTCTCAACATTAATTCTGCTAGATGTAAGACATGTTATAACTTAATTTTAAAATGTCAGATAACTTTACTAACTTGAATTCTTCATTTAGTATTGCTCATTGATGACACAGTATAGCAAAAAAAGTAATTACAACTTGTGGATTATTATTACACTGTTGCCGCGATTTATTAACGGATACCTAAAGTGAGTAGGCATTATTAGGCTGTTTTGTTTATTTTTTAAGTTTTCATCTTATAGAAAATATTTGATTTTCGTGTTTATATATTACATGTTTTCATATCTTTAAAAAAACTTCAAAATGGCGCCAAAACCATATTTTCTCGTATTCTATGAAAACGCGAAGACCTTTACCCTTAAACCTTACTAGCACATTGTTAACAGTTTTTTGTTATTGACCAAGGTTACTTTTTCATAAAAAAAATAACACATACTTAAATGGAATATCTATCTTGGTTTCTTCATTTATTTTCTAAATGTTGCATTTGCATTGTTTGCACTGGTTTGGATAGGATTTTTTTTGTGTGTTTTCTTCTGACACTCATAAACTTTATTGATATACAAACTAGACTTGTTTTTTTTTTTAATAGAACACCCTGTATATTTTTTAATAATTTTATGAGGGCTATGAGTTTTTCGAAAAATGTGTGACGCATATGACGTATATAATATAATTTTTTGTAATTATTATTTATTTAAATCTCCGCCTCCTTTTCCTTTTGCTACGGCTCATGTTGACCCAAAATATAACTTAATTATTTAATATCCATTCAATATTGCCCACACACAAGTTGATGTTGATAGATAACTAAATCTTTGTAATAAATTATGTAATTTATTTACAAAAATCCGTAGTTTATATCCCCGACTCAAAAATAAAATAAAGATATGTGGTTTGTGTTTGAAATAGTTCTTATGTGGTATATTTATTTTTGGAAAGCCAACAAAAAAATTAGTAATATTAATAAAATAAATACATTGCGTTACGTTAAAAAAAAAAAACAACTTTAGTTTATATATCAAAATTTGTGAGTTTCAGAAGAAAGTTGCATCGTACTTTAAAAGCCTTATATAAAGTTTTTAGGCACCATTATAAAATGAAAGGAGGTAAAATTCAAATTATTTACAAAAACTTAAGGTTTAGGGATTGTAAACCTTATTCAACTCGAATGCGATAATATATACAACCTTGACATTTTACCGATTTTGATACATTCCGTATAAATTGAAGGTCATTTTAAAAAGTTAAATCTGATGAAAGCGAATGAAATAATTGAAAATTTAAATTTGTGAAGGAAAATTGCCCAATACATTTGTTGAATGAAATTAAGAATGAAGCTAAATGAAAAGATAAATAACAAACTTTTTAAATTTTTATTTTATAGGCAATGTGTCTCTCTAACAATAATTTTCTGTTTTGATGTTTATTATTTTTTCTATTCCATTGTTGTGTTCCATTCCTATTGCTTGTGTCTATCCTATACATTAGCGTTAATTCAAACAGAGAAAATTATTCCTTAACTGTCTGATTACAAATACCTTTGCCTGTGTCAATTAAAGTTTTAATACGTTTGTAGATTATTTATTGCCATTGGCTTTTTTGAATAAGGTAGTTTTTATTTTAAAGACTGTTCATCATTTACGAACAAAAGTGTTACCTACTCGAACCTTTTTTATGATATCTAACGCTTTTATTTTTGTACTAACCCTCGACTTTTATAAATTTTTGTTTATACCAAAGTAAATATACTTTTAAGTTCTAGTCACGTCTTGATTAAGAATCGTCATGCACAATAATATTTTTATGTAGGGTCCGAACGTTTCCACTTGATATTTACATTTTGTATGTAAGTAAATCACATTTACTAAAATTCATAACAATAAAATTACTATTATACTTTTGTGTTTTATGTTTACATCTTTAGTGTCGGACTGATTGATTGATTTTCAGCTGATGGTTGCTTAAGCCGTTTTCATAATCAAGCCTATGTATGAGAATTGGATATGGGTAGTTCGGAACTGTGAGACTTTTTTTATGGAAAAATTTTAAAGCAAAAGTTCTTTGGATACTTTTGGATAATAGTTGTTGCTACTATACAAAGTATCTCACAGTACATGACTTTCTTATTGAATTTCAGGTTCAAGCTTGGCTATACTTAATATTAATAGTTTCTTTGATATCTTGATTCCTTTGAAGATTTTAAAGAGTCGTCTTTTCGAAATTGGTATTATAAAGTGATTTGTCGCTTAAACTACATCGTTGAAGCTTCCGTTTTGCACATATGACGCCCTGTGTATTATTGTATGATGTGATGCATAATCTAATTCTTCTTGCTTGCTTTCTTGCAATTTCGTATTTTCAATGAAATGTCAATCAAACCCCAAAGTTGTTGTTAGTTAACATAGATCTGCTTAAAGAACTAGTGTACTCTTTCTCGACTTAGACAAGATTGAGACGAATTATGAGACGCAAATAATACTAGGGTGCCGACGCTGTACAAAGCATTCACCTCGCTTCATGCATAAATACAAGGTGTCCAAACAGTGTGTGAAAGTGATATATCCCATTTATTATTTGTTTTGGAGAAAAATGTTAAAAGCAAAAGTTACAGATGAGACTAAAAGAAAAAAATTATAATTATTTTCAAATATAAATGTCTCGGAAATAAAACATTTTTTGAAAGGAACACCCTGTATATTATAGCATTAATAGATGCTCCTTGTTATACTCAATCACCCAATGAAGGGCTGTTATGGTCTACACTGAGTGTTTTCCGATTGAAGGCCATTTTTTCTTCAAAAATTCCCTGTCTTTAATACCCTTTATTTTTGACGCCGTTTCCGACAGCTTTAATTTTATTACGCCAACAGTTTTATAAAGTGCTACAGTCATTTATCCTATATTTCTCTTGGTTCTGACTGTTTATACAGGGTGAGCCAAAATGAAAAATATGAATTTTCGTGAAAAAATCAACTGGATCACTCTTATTATACTTTAATTAACAAAATACTGAAAATTTTCAAACCTTGCCTAAATATCATAAAAGATTGAGAACAAAATAAATAATACCCGAATGTAAAAAGTCGAATTAAGTATAATTCTTTCAGATAATAATATCATTCGTGACAAAATGCCATACGGAAATAATTTTTTCTACTCTCGTCTGTAAAATGCGTAATTACACACCGATCTAACGTGCGGAAAGCGTCACTTTACCACGTCAGTTTCGTTTCCCACGGATCCAAGCCACTTCGGTTATTTCCGGGATTTTACCGGACGGGTTTGGGACCAGTTGTATGAGCCTGATCCGACCACAGCAACACCGTTTTTTGTCCCTTTTGTTTTAATTTTTCGGCTTCGCTATGAAACACGATAACTGTCCGAAATTTGAATCTATCGATTTGAAATTTTGCATGAGGGTAGAGACTGGGCCCCTAACGGAACCTATTGAAATTGAGAGGGATGTGTGATTGAGAAGTAGTTTTTAAAATTCAAAAACCACGTTTTTTTAAAAACCAAAAAATGACTATATCTCGAAAACCGTTTATCGGACCGAAACAATTCCTGAACGAGAAGATGCAAAATATGGATGCCCATAAACCTTTATTGACAATTTTTCTAAAATATACAGGGTGTGCCGGTATTTCCAAAAAACTGATCCTTGAGTTACCCGTGCAAAGAAAACGGACTTACCCGGTCTACGGTTTTTTCTACATAACAGTGTAAAATCCTTGTATTTAAGGTTTTTGTATATTGTACAGGGTGTTCGAGATAAATTGCGTTATATTGGAAAATGCAACAGGTGCCCGAAATTTGCAGCTTTTGACTTTAAATTTGGGCTGCATAAAAAAATTCATTCCGCGAAAACGCTTTACCCGATCGACAAGATTCTTGAACCAAAGGACGCAGAAGATCCAGGACTATAACCTTTATTTCAGGCATTTTTTCGATTATACGCAGAGTTTTTTCATTATATACAAAAATATTAAAGACTTTGAAAATCGTCCTTTTCCACAGTCCACAGACACGTAAGTCAAAATCCGTAAAAAATATGGCTGATTGGTTAGAACGGAGGTATAGATCACACCGAGAGCTACAATTTTTGTATTTACGGTTTTCTCCTACCACACACACGCTGCTCGAGATATCTGAAAAAATTTATGTGAAAATCGCCCTCACGTTAGACGCGATGACATCACTTACTATTACAACGTACGGTGCGCTGCGTTGTTTCAGATAAATATTATTTTCTCGAAAACCATTTGCTCTATTGGCAAACTTCATCTACCACGGAACATGGGAGATTCAGGGTTTCAATCTCTATTTCCCTAATTTTTCGATTATGCACAGGGTGTCTCGATTATGGGCAAAATATCTAAAGTACCGTGAAAATTGCCGTTATCGTATATAAAATATTAGCTGTAAATAAAAAACTGTAAAAGGAAATCTGGTTTAAAACGTATTATGAACTGTATGGAGAGCTACAATTTTCGGATTTAGAGCTTTCGTCTACTATACAGGATGCGTGAGATATTTGGAAAAACATAATCAATAAAATCATAAGTCGTCATTAAATGTCAACATTTTTAAAAAGTAGTTTCTGATTCGGATTTCTGATCCTCAGAAACCCCTTTAACCAAAATTTCGCAAGCTTTTTGGATATTACCTCGAAATCACATTTTGGACTGAAATAGCAGCTTAAAAATCGATGCTCTGTAATTTATGATTTACATCTCTCTTATTTTAAACTGTGAGGAATTGAATGAATATATGTTATCTACCTACGTCCTTCCTCTATCCAACAACACCAAAAAGTTTCATATAAGTTGTACCTTTTGCCGTCGGGAACGGTTTTTGGAAGACGCTGCAAATTTTAAAAAAATGCTTAATTACAATTAAATCGACCGGGCTGGGGTTGACTTTATGGTATCTGCGGGAAGACCTCATTGACCTCCAGGTTCCATAAAAATTTGAACCTTCTCGGAGCAACGTAGGTATTTAAAAAAAAATAAAAACCTAAATATTTGGGAAGAATCGGGACCATGAAAATTTTGGATCGAGGTCGATGTTAACCGATCCGGCTGAAATTGTGAAACCGTGTGAGGCTGCAAATTTTTAAAAAATAATTAATAATATTTAAATGGAGGGGGCTGGGGGAACTTTATGGCATCTGTGAATAAACCTCATTGACCTCCAACCTCCAACCTCAACCTTCTCGGAGCAACGTAAGCATTTTAAAAAACCCCTAGAAATGTGAATATTCTGAGAATAATGTTTCTAATTCAGGAGTAGGCTACGAAATTTATTTGTATCCTTTATTTTGTTTGGTTCAGCGATTATACGTGCAATTTTCTTAAGCTTTAATCCTATTGGTCTATGCGTTTGATAAATAGTAAGCTCTGCATGTCATCGAAGACTCTTGTCATTATAGATTTTAGTTGAAATAACATGGTTAATGACAACGGTATCGAAACGTAAAGTATTTTAAAATTTTTAAGGATATTTCGGGGGTTTAGAGATGCGCTGAAGACGATGCAATGATTTAAAATTGTGTCGGGGGTTTAGAGATGCGCTGAAGACGATGCAATGATTTAAAATTGTGTCCGACGTTTCGTTTTAGCAGGAAGCTATCTTCAGAGCATTAATTCGTAATAATTGGAATTTGAAAGTGGTTCCGGGGGTTTTGACGTGCGAATTCGTAATAATTCGAATTTGAAAGTGATTCCGGGGATTTTGAGGTGGGCTGAAGACGATGCAATGATTTAAAATTGTGTGCGACGTTTCGTTTTAGCAGGAAGCCCTCTTCAGAGCACTAATTCGTAATAATTGGAATTTGATGGTGGTTCCGGGAGTTTTGAGGTGCGCTGAAGACGATGCAATTATTTAAAATTGTGTCCGACGTTTTGTTTTAGCAGGAAGCCATCTTCAGAGCATTAATTCGTAATAATTGGAATTTGAAGGTGGTTCCGGGGGTTTTGAGGTGCGCTGAAGATGATGCAATGATTTAAAATTATGTCCGACATTTCGTTTCACCATGAAGCCATCATCAGAGCATTAATACGTAATATTTGGATTTTGAAGGTGGTTTTTATGAGTTTTGAGGAATGCTGAAAACAAAGCAATTATTTAATATTGTGTTCTACATTTCGATCCAATCAAGTGCTACAATTTTTGTGTTTATCCATCAATCAGGGAGCGCAGGTTATTTGAAATAATATTAATGGAAATCGCAATTACTCGTAAAAGTTAAAAAGTTTTATATTTAACAAAAGTTTGCCATGATATTGAAACTCGGCTAGACATGGACGACCCTTTATAGAGGGTGGAAGCTTAGTAAAATCACATTTTGCGAAAATTCCATAGTAGTCCGCAGGCGCTTTATAGACTGCGTAGCGCGGAGTAGTCGCCTCGCGAGAATGATGGACTCGTCTTATCTGAATAGCAGATTTAATCTTTAAATAATCTTTAAATAAACCCAGAAATATCAGCGCCATGTTCCTTACTCTCTGGGTTATTATTTTAAATGTTCATATTATCGTTCGTACACGGGCGAGGATTGTGCGGCATGGTTATGCAAGGAGATGGAGCAATTAGCTGAGAACATTAAGACGGTATTCTTGTGTGATTTAAAAATGGATGAACCAAAAGCTGGACAAAAAATTGAATTTTGCAAGCCGTTTGAAAAAGACGACAAAAAAGTTCGAGATCATTGTCTTGGAAATATAGGGGACCCGCACATAAATATTGTAATCTTCAACTTAGGGACAGTCGCACCGTTCCTGTAGTGTTTCATAACCTTTCCTCGTATGACGGAAACATAATAATAAAAGCCCTAGCCGAATGTGATGGATCGATCGACTTGCTGCCCGTAAACAAGGAAAAGTATATTTCCTTTGCATGGCACCTTAATTCCGATTCATCCACAGTTTTCGATTTATGGTGACCGGTCTGGATAAGTAATTCCCTGCGATGATAAACGTCGCATATCAAAGTCATCAGTAGAAACGTTGCCGTGGGGCCACTATTCAATTATGGAAGAAGAAACTGTCTCCGCCTGTTTGTAAATGTTTCATTCGTTTTGCTTTGAAATTTCTTTTTTCTTAAGAATCGAATGAGGTGCGCTTAACGGCTCAGTTCACGTCCGGCAGCCTAGTTAAGTTTTTATATTAAAAATGCATGAAATATTTTGATCTTTTTCATTATATTTTTGGGCATATTTAGAATAAAAATGACCTGAAGTCCTTAATATTTTTCGCTTATTACCTCCATCAACTCTTTAATAAAGGATATTTAATGTATTAATACATACTTGGACTCCTATTAATTTGGTTTTTAATTTTTGGTGGTGGGTGATGGACGTAACTATATGTATTGAGGGTTTGCGAGAGGGCTGCGGGAAGGGCTGTGAGGGTTGAGGGAGGGGGTGTGAGGGTTCAGGGAGGGGGTGAGAATTGAAGGAGAGAATGAGTGGTAGATCGAATGACCTTGACCGGACCAATTTTCGCTAATATGGAACCTTAAATTTTCTAATGGGAATTTACATGTAAAAATGAGAAAATTTATTCTTGAACTGTCACTATATATCTACTGACGATCAAATGATATACTTTGTAATTTGACACTCGATAGTAGATAGGTATAATTCGAATAGGAATTAAGAAAAGGGTGCTTGTTTTAAAGATACAGGACGTACATCAGGTGCTAAATCCGCACAGGACACATGAATATAGGTTAATTTTATCGAAGGATGCTGTAACCCGCATTCAAAAAAATATATTTTTTAACCCGTGAGTATCTTTCGAATATTTTGTTGTCATTATCGCCCCCTATTTATTACAGCACTAACCAACCAATACAATATAGTTGTCTATGACTACAGTCACCAGCTAAGGTAAAAATTTACGTCTTTCAAATCAAATTTATGAATGACAACGTCCAAAACAAAATTCATTTCTTAGCAAAATAGGTAGGGTTTACACCTGATGATGGGAATAAAACTGATTATAAGCTGACTGAATTCACTGTGCAATTTGTCCTAGCTAGTTGTGAGTGAGCCTTGGGGTAACACACATTTATGTGTGTTACCTACTTCGCAAATAAGATGGGGCATTTCCCGTAGCCACATGAGAATCACATAAAAAGATACTTATGGTGATACAAAAATACTTTAAATCTACAGCATGGTGAACCTGGCTTCTGGTCTCAGGGCCCCATAGCGGTCCAGAAATGTCCCTAATGGCCCCACCAAACCTTTTGTTGTTGTATTGATGTAGTAGAAAATATTTGTACTGATTGTTCTCTTTTATGATGTAACACTGTTCAAATGGTTGAAATGAAACAAAAATTTTAAGCACAAGCATTTTAATAATTACTCCCAAAACATACTATAATAATTTTTTTTCCATCCACATTTTCTTGTATTTGACGTACAATCCACAGTGCCTTGTCCAAGTAAAAGCCTATAATAATAACATTTTTTATATTTATGAAAGAAACCTCTACCTTTATACACCTTATTAGGAGTTACCAGTAAATAAACATAAAATATATTTATTTTATACCTCAAAAAACTAAGAAAGGTCATATACCTACAGCCGCTTTGATATGTATATTGTTATTTAACATGTATTAGAGGTTCCTATTAACTTATACAAAGGTAGAGGTTACCTACCGAAAAAATATAAAATACTTCTAGTCATATTTGATGAAGGGTGAATCCAACAAATTGGTTAATATCATTTCATACAGGGCCTTGCGACAAAAATGGCTCATGCCAAGCTTTTGTGCCAAACTGTATAACCAAACTAATATGCTTGCTCCCACAACTCTAGTCAAGTCTTTCAGTTCTCTGCATAGAGGTACATACCGAGTTGAAGAAAGTAAGGCACCTTCGGCATTTCCAAAATTACGTTAACATAATTGAAATTTATTAATACTTATATAGTCTCAGTGGGACAGCGTAATGTACTACACATTTCTACCAATAACTTCTTTACCTTGTCGCAAGTCTATTGCATATATTCTTTCGTTCTCCTTTCCTACACATGCTTGCAATTCCTATCTTGTATTTGGTCCTTCAAGTGTTCATAATTATGTTGTCCCTTCCTTAAGATGAATACACCATTCTCCAGGTCGCCATTCTTATGCCAGAATTTTCTCAAAATATGTCGAAATCCTATTAAATTTTCAGGCAAGGAATTAAGGTGTAGAAAGTGTGGTTAAAAAAATTACCGACAAGTGCAGAGTTAATATTATGCTGAATTACAGCAGACGGATCGGCATCCTTATTATAATTCTGTAAGAATTTTAGCGTTTTGGTTCTTTAAGCGCTATTTGCACAATTTGTTTTTATTAAACTTATTGGTTTAACCTCTTTTGAAAATGTAAATAAAGTCGAATTCACGAAATGTAACTCTAAAAGTGTAATTAAACTTTGAGATACTAGGTATCGCAGTGGAAAAAATATTCGACAAGCACCACGTAAAGATAGAGCGCTCATTCTTTCATTGCAAGTCTAGTAATTGCATAAAGTTTCGCCTCCTAAATATATTATTCTGAAAAGTACCAATGGGCAATCTCGTTAAAAAACTGTGGGTATTGGAAAATGTAACCAAGAAATTTAAAAACTAGTATAAAATAAGTCAATAAACAATTAGCTCTAAATGTAACAGAATTAACATTACCAAACGCTAAAGAGTGTTGTTTTTTACAAAACTTCTGGATTCCTCCTGCGTCGGTTTTTGTTTAGTCGAAATTGCTGACGTTTCGCCAATCATCCTGTTGGCTTCTTCAGAGCTTGATTGAAACTGTAACAAAAACCGATGCAGGAAGAATCCAGAAGTTTTGTAAAAAGCATTGCGGTAGCCTGTGGAAGTTTCTTTGAAAAAAGCTAGAGTGTTTATTGTCTCAAAGTTTAAAAAACATTTTGTTAGCAAAAATTGCATGGTGGCTACTGCAAAAATATTTAACAGCAATTGTTAAATGCTAAAAGTACATATAGAAATTGTATTTTGTGTACCGCACTTTAAATGCTAGTATCAATTCACACAATAATTTACCTATATTTTATTGTCATCTGGATTTTACTTTTCCAGAAATGTTCGGAATTTTTTTAAAGTGTAAGCTCACATGAAACATTCTAAAACGAAAATTATCTTAAGAAATCTTTTTTCCAGATGCACATTCCAGTTCTGTTTTGTAGACAAGATTGCCACAACTACGACTTACCTTTAATTATATTAGCATTTTATATATTGTTTTATTAACTCGTTATGAAGTTCACAGAAGATATAGTTGGAGAATGAACACAATGTAAAAATATAAATGAATAAATACATGAATTATTTAATAAGGCCTTTATTGAAAAGAATAATGTACATTGTTGCTTATAAACACAATAAGAAATTAAATTTAAAAAAATGCTGCATTCTTTAATAGCATAATAATACTTATTTTTCATTTGCACAATGGCGTTCGATATAAGATGATAAGTGTTACTCTTTTTAAGGAACTTTTATATTACTTGATTTGAGAGGATCACCACCTTTAAAAATTACAAAAAAGATGTAGGCAATAAAAAAATACATTTATAATAAATTAAACTATTGTTAATTATTAGTAGAATAACTAAAGCAAATATTTCATTAACTGTAAATTCGAAACAAAATTTAAATCAGAAGCACATTACTTGTTTACAGTATTTTATTGTGCCTTAAGGTCTTTTTAAAAACTGATGACCGCAGGTTATTCCGTGCCAGGCCTCTCTATAACTTCTAATGTTGTTTTGACTACCACTGAAGCTGTCTGTTCTTGGAAAGAAATTATTATTTTGACTTGTTGGAAATAAATCCCAAAAACGTCCCCCTATCAACAACAATTTTTCATATGTTCAAGATGGAAAATTTTCAGTCACAAATTATGCATGAAAAATATAAATATTTTAGACCGAACAAAAGTTGGTAACATATTGATAAATTTTATCAGTGGGCTTAGAAAAAAAAGGGACCATTTGACACTTTAAATATGGGCTGGCTATTAAATACCCCCGGCAAACAAAATGACCAGAAAACAAGTAACCCAATTTACAACTGATCACAATATCTACCTAAAAGACACTGCGTACTTTATCATACCTATAGCTTAAAGGAGTGATATGGATGCTCTTTTAAAGCTATCAGCCTCTCTGGCAACTCCATTTTTGATAAAAAATGTTATCCACTTTTCCTTAGAATTTCATCTTTTGGTAAACTAAAAAATAAAACGTAAATTGAATGACACTACATGGATATGTGATTAATATATCAACAGACATATATGCAAGTCTATACAAAAAATGGGATAGAGTACATGGATCAGTCTCGTAACTTGTACTAAATAGTTATTCACACAAGGGATGTAGGTGATACTTAGGAGTCAAGGACATAGCTTACTCTCGAGCCAAGCAAGGGTTGGGAAAATTGTCAGAGACTAATCAAGATCTCTTCTTCCCAAGTTGTGCATATAATGTTTTGCCTACTCAAGTTGTCCCGAATCCAACAAGCAGATTTACAAAATCAGTATTTATTGATAGAACTATTTCTATTTAATCAGTATCAAATTGTGTGTGTAAGAGTATTCACTTACCTCCCGAAGGAGGTAGGTGACCTACAAATAAGGTACCCCAAAAATTTGAATAGTTGCCTAGAATTCCTGGTAATTCTCAAAAATTTTGAACTGATTCTGGTAATTCCCAACTTTCGAAGGTAATAATTTCTGTAATTTTTAACCAACCGAAAGACAATGTTATTTTCACTAAGCGGGATGACAAACAAACAGTGAGGTTTACAAGAATTCGTTATTGTCAAGAAGTATTTCTTGTGATTGTTCAGTAAAACTTGCAGCTTATTTGTTTTCTTACATTTCCTGTAATTGTACACTAAAACATATTACCCAAACATCTTTCCTATGTAGCTATTTAAGGGTACTTTGCAGTTTGTTAAATCACTCGGGTTTGTCTAAGATCCTATTAAGTCCTCTTACTTGCCACACTTGTCATTTCGTGAAGGAGCAAGTATTGAAAGCACCAATTATACAAGTTTGTGAGTGGGAGTCCTATAGAAACCACTTTTAATTCTTTTAAATTAACTTGTAGATAAGGCAACACTTACCTGTATATAGGCACATTCTTTTCCTTACACTTTTGACCACAAACACAACAAGTTTTTCACAAAAACACGAAAAAGGTACGGAGAGAATCATAACCACCAAAAATGTAAACAACAATGGCACAGACTGTATCATAGCCACCTGCGGCGCATCACTTTTTACCGTAGTAGGGCTACTATATTATCTGATAGCTATATGACTCAATCACGTGTACGTCACGGTCTCGGCTGTTTTCGGATCGGTTGTTAGAAGAAAAATTTTTCATTTTCCCAAGAGTTAGATATGTTGTTGAGTAGCTAGTTTGCTATACTTTCAATCACACAACAATCACAATACAAAAAAACAGTTTTATTTTACTTAAAATCTAAATTTACAGTGTCGGTATCGATCTGGAAACGATAATGGATCAAACAATGCAATTTCGGCTGTTTATATTATTAGTAAAATATTCATTTTATTGAAACAACCTTTTCGAGTTAAAGAAAATACCGATTAAAAAGAAGCTACAACGAAAAATCCTGAGACAAATTATACTTTTCCTTAGTTTCAAATAATTTAATACATCACTTCATAGACCGTCGCTTTCTTGTCACCCGAGCCTGTCACTATATATTTGTCATCTGTCGAGATGTCGCAACTCAATACGCTCGATGATTCCTTGGACTGCAACGCGAAATTATAAATTATTAGTATAAAAATAAAACCTTTAATTTTTTAAACCTGAAAAATACTGGCTCCGTAAGGCGTCCTCCAAGCGTTCAATAGATTGTCTTTTCCCGTAGAAACGAACCATTTGCCACACATGGCGAACTTTAAACTGAGCACGCAACTCTCGTGAAGATGTAGCTGGTATTTGTCTGGTTTGCTGGCGTGAAGTACCTTTGAAATGAAACTATTTAAAAAACATCGCTCGAAATAAATACAATTCACCCTAATGGTGTCAGAAAATAACTTTTGGTACTGAACTCTCACCCATGTAGCATTTTCGTAAACATGTAAACGCTATTTTATCAGTTAGTGTTACCTAAAATGCAAATCATAGTCTTAGAAGTTCGGTCGGTGACTAATTACAGGCCCACAAGGATTTTGTGATTTTTTATGTTTCATATTTTTGCAGTTATAGGAACTAAACTAATAGAAAAACAATGTTTTTTGATTCTACAACATTCTAAAAATTGAGATTGCTACGCCACTGGCATAGATTTTGCATAAATTAACAGAATATTAGGGGGAATTACTCAAAAGTAATATATTATTTCCTGTAAAAATTTTGTTGATCCGTTTTGCTGTGCGTGGTTCTTTTTTGTAGGTCCTCAAATAAGGCGATTCATGGAAGATCAAGACCTGCTGAATATCATGATCCAATCTGAAAAGGTTGCATGGGTTTCATTTACTGATGTTTTAAAAGGTTTTCTAGGAGACAACAAATATCCAAATTACAAAAAAAATTGTGGGACAAATTGTGTAGTTGTATCTGGACTACTGGAGGTTCCTCTAAGATATAAAGAAATGGAACGCAGATATCAAGGTCGATGGAACGTTGCAATGATGGTAGATTACTGCCGGTCACTAAAAAGGGACAATGAATCCACACAAATATACAAGAAAATCCACTAGACCAAGTTTTCCGGAGAGATGGAGAGATTTTCCAAAAATAAATCGACTTAAATATTTTTTTAGACTTTGCTTTTTAATGTAGACTTTTTAGTTCGGTCAGATTTAAATTTGGGAGGCCTAAATTATGCAGAATCAAATGTCAGATCGAAATCAATTTTCAAAGTTTAAAAATTGTTGGTCTGTGTTATTTCTCTCGGCTAAATACTCCAAGATCCCAGAGCGATTAAACATAACTTATTTTCACACGAATGAAACTTTAAGTTTTTAGTAGCGTCTCGTATGCCTTGAATACCTACGCGCTTGTGGAAGTTGCCGAGTGACACCTGGTACACCAGGTACCAGGTGAAAAAGGTAACTAAAAATAAGAATTATTTAACTTAAATTCACATGGCTCATTTTTATATATATCATGTAGAATATTATTTTAAAATAATATCATAAATGTCAAACACTTTTGATGGACCAGAGCTTCTGTCAGACGCTTTTAAGCCTACCCAAAAAATAAATGAACTATACTTATTTTTTTACATGTCTGATTTTTGAATATGTTATTGAAGTATTTATTTAAAAGTTATATTCAATCAGTCAGACAAATTAGAGTGACCAAACATCCCCTAAGACAAAAAATATTCAGTCAGAAGTATGAGGGCGAGAGCACTATGCGCATGCGACTCAAAGTAAAAAACTTAAATGTACTAAGAATACTTACTGTTCGCAATCTGAGATTTTTGCATCTTTATTTCAACAAAATTAACTTTAACACTAAGGAAGTAATTAATAAATATTAAAGTAAATAAGTATATTGCATATATTTGGGGTTACCATTTTTTATTCGTCACAATCATCAAGACAATGATTTTAGTTTTCATCATCACTGAACTAATTGTTGTATTGTAAGAATGGCATTGTTTAAAATTAATAAATATCCGGTTATTCTCAACAAATGGGACCATTTCATCAGATGTCCAGTGTTGAATGAAAAAATCAACGAGGGCCTATTTAAAATGGACATTTTTCAATTCTTTTAAAAAATTTTATGGTCTAGGCCAGTAATGTTGAAATCCAGTTGAGTAGACTTTTGGCGAGGATCTCTTTCGTAGTCGTTCATGGAAGGAGAGAAATATTGCTCAAAAACCATGTCGTATATCTTCGCTTAGCATTAGAAGCATTTTTTTCGAAATAGCTCCAAAAGTTTTCGGGGCAGTTTTCATGGTGTGAAGTAAAAAGAAACCATCAATTCATAAGACGTCAATTTGATCAGGTTCTACATCTTTCTCCAAAGATTTCATTAAAGTTGATTTCTGGGTTATACAAATTGCTCTATCAATATGCCACGTGGATAATGGCATTGGAGTAATAGGATAAGTCAAAATTTTCTGCATATCTACCTTGTAATCTATAGATATGCCAAGAATACGCCCAAAAAGATCTCTTTACATTCGTACTTCTTGCACTGTGTACTTTGGTTTTTTCCTTTTTGCAATAATCTAGTGTAAAGTTTTCCGTTGGTGTTTTCTTGATCCTTTTTGGGAATCTGTTAACATTCAATTCACACTCAGAGATAAACGTTTGACGTTTAACTTCACCATTTTCTTCTACATTAAACAAAAATTTTTCTACGGGCACCGAAGCTGCTTTACCCGATGAAATATTGATTAACAAATCTTTTGGCACTTATGAGTAGAATGGATTTATATATATATATATATATATATATATATATATATATATATATATATATATATATATATATATATATATATATATATATATATATATATATATATATATATATATATATATTCTCACGTATTGATTCACGGATGGAAAAATGTGATGACACTATATTCCGGGATATCATCCGTTCGCTCGTTGAACTCCGACTGGAATCCTGCAAATCCTGCATCCGACTGGAATCCTGCAGAGGTTTCGCCAAAATCTCACTTGGCATCTTCAATGCTCGCGCTCCGAAAACACTTCGAACACTGGGAGGTTATCGGCGGTGCGTGCGGTATTTATACTCTGCGCCGGAGATGGTACCGGTGCTGCTTGTGCGTGGGGGGAGGTGGCTCCGCCAACTGAATTGTCGCGTTGTCAATTTCGCCCGATCGTAGTTGCGATGTCCCCGTAGGCTGCAGCGCATCGCTCTGCTGTTTGATTATCGTTCTCCACGTGTTGGATAAATGCAGAGCGTCGTCTCTCGTATTGACGTGTCCGGACTTTTCTATTTCGATGGCCTCTCGTATAATCCTAGTCCTAAAATCAGGAATATTAGCTATTTGTTTGCAAGTGCCGAAATCAATTTCATGGCCTGTCTGATGTTGGTGCTGAAACAAAGCAGATGTTGTTTGTTTGTTTCTTATCGCTAAACGATGTTCCTCGAGCCTGGCTGAAATCCTTCTGTTGGTCTGTCCCACATACGTCAGGCTGCACGATCCGCATGCTACACTGTATACTCCTTGGTTTTCCAGAGTAATTTTTTGTTTTGGGTTTCTTAATATTGCTCCGATGGTATGGTCAGGTTTGTATGCCGTTGATATGTCGTGTTTCCGTAATATTCGGCCGATTTTGTCAGTAACCCCCTTGATGTATGGCAGAACAGCGATCGATCTTCGTTGGGTCTCGTCCTGCACACTCTGCTGCGGCTGTTGTTGTTTACTGATTGCCTTGCTGATGGTGCGCCTTTGGTATCCGTTTTGTCGAAGACAGGTACTAATTTTCTTCAGTTCCTTATCTCTGTTCCTCTCGTTTGTGAGCCTGAAGGACCGAGCAATTAATGTATTTGCCACTGCTTGTATCTGTGATGGGTGGTGATGAGATTTAGCGTTCAGATATCTATTAGTGTGTGTTGGTTTTCTATAGACAGTGTGTTCCAAGTGTCCATCTTCGGTCCTTGTGATGTGCACATCTAAAAAGGGGAGACTGTTATCCTCTTCAAGTTCTATTGTGAATTGAATCCTTGGGTGAATGGAATTCAGATGATCTAGGAATTTCAAAAGCTCCTCCTTGCCAAAAGGCCATACAACAAATACGTCATCAACGTATCTTGTCCATAGTTTTGGCTTCAGATTTGTCTTCTCTATTGCTTTCTTTTCGAAGTAAATCATGAAGAGGTTGGCAATCACAGGTGAGAGAGATGATCCCATTGCTGCTCCATCTATTTGTCGGTAAATTTTCCCGTTGTACATAAAGTAAGAGTTTTTCAGGCAATGTCTTGACAGATCCATTATGTATGGCGGAAGATCTTCGTTTTCTTCTATAAGCAAGAGTGCCTCTTCTACTGGAATACTCGGGTAGAGGGATTTGACATCGAAACTTGCCATAATGTCGTCCTTGTCCATCCTGAGAGAACCTAAAATCTGAGTGAAATGTTCTGAGTTTTTAACATAGGAATCTGCCTTTTCCACTATAGGCTGAAGTGCACTGGCCAGATGTTTTTCCAGCTTGCAAAATGGTGAGTTAAAGGCGCTTACGATAGGACGCAGGGGAACCCCGTCCTTATGGATCTTCGGGAGCCCGTAGAATTTTGTGCAACGATTTTTCCCTCGGAATAAGTTTCTTCTTTGTATCCTCGTTTATTGATAAATCGAGAATTTTGGACTTAGTTGTTTTTCCAAATATGTCGTGGGATCTCTGGTGACTAGTTTGTATATTGGGTCGTTCAAAATATCCTCCAATATATATATATATATATATATATATATATATATATATATATATATATATATATATATATATATATATATATATATATATATATGATGACACTATATATATATATATATATATATATATATATATATATATATATATATATATATATATATATATATATATATATATATATATATATATATATATATATATATATATATATATATATATATATATATATATATATATATATATATATATATATATATAAAATATGATTGGTGAGCTCGGCCGAAACGTCTTGCTCTTTCTGCAGGCACAAATTAACTAATTATTGTCGATCTCATATCGTGACGTTGACGTGCAGAAATTGAATTCATAAAATGTATTATAGCAGTGAGTTTATTGTTTGTTCAAGAACAAGATCAATTGGTTGTTTAGAAAAAGGCTTATTGGTTCTTCGAATACCAAAAAAACCTTCTTGGAATTCTTCATACAAATCAGGATGCGTTTCGGCGATGATTAATAATTTTGAGCAGTATCTAACACACCAGTGGTTGGTTAAAGATAAAAAATAAATTTATAACATATATAGTAATATGTATTTGAACAGATCAAAATCTCCAATGCGAATACTTCTGGATAGAGTTAGATAATAATTGATTACATATATTAAATAAAACTGCGATGTTTTTCCATGCTCACCGTTCAAAGTCTGTTATTTATAAATGCAATAATTATTTAGTACTACTTTCAAATCTTAATTCTCAACTTCAAAAGATGACGTTAGAGAATTCTGCAGACGAGCAATTTCTTCAATAACTGTATCTGATACATCTACATTATTAAGATGTCAATTATATTACGACTACTTGTTTACCTTTTTAAAGCCATTCCGAGCTTAATATGCTTTGACGTTTTACATTCACCATTAAATATACCATATACAGCATCCTGCCTCAAAGATTGTTCTAATCGAATACATTTTAAATTGTTCTTCTTTTGCTGTTACTTCCTGCAATAAGAGTAAAATAAAATTTTAATAAGTATTCCGGTACTGAAACTTCATCGTCCTTAAGATCTTATACAGATAAATTATTCGGCATTTTTTTTCTCTGTTACATATTGCACTTTCTCAAGTAATTCAGTTGAGTCTTTCTTTTCATCATTCAATTTTTTCAAGAAATCGCGTTTCTCGCACGCATGCAACGGTAGTCTTTTCAGTTTATGTCGTTTAGTCTGTTGATCACAGTATATACATTTCTGTTTTCTGTCTGAATCCAAGTTACTTTCAAGTGAAATATTTTCAGAAGAGAAATTATCATCACGTTCAGATAACTCACAAGGTTCTTCACAATCACAAGACACCTATTCAACTGATTGTAAGTCGACACTTGACTTCACATTTGACTCAACACTTGGTTCAGGCATAGAATTAGCTGACTTGAGTTTGACACTACATCTAAATCCGGAACTGTTGAGTAAGATTACAAGTTTGGCTTGATGTCGATGCAACTAATGAATTTTCAACAATGCTCGATGATTTTTTTTAGTATTTTTTGGTTTTTCTGGTATGGCGGAAAAATATTTTTTTGTCAGAGCGGTAAAATTTTTATAACATTCTCGATGGTAACCATTGTAATACAAATCATCAGGTAATTGATTTTGAGGTTATGCGTTATTCGCTGTTTTAAAATGTTTTTGCACTTTTTCGATATTTCTTCGGAGAATAATATAAGTTTAAGTTTATAGTGCTCTGGCCCTCATGCTTCTGGCTGAATAATTTTTGTCTTAGGGGATGTTTGGTCACTCTAATTTGTCTGACGGATTGAATATAACTTTTAAATAAATACTTCAATAACATATTCAAAAATCAGACATGTAAAAAAATAAGTATAGTTCATTTATTTTTTGGGTAGGCTTAAAAGCGTCCGACAAAACCTCTGGTCCATCAAAAGTGTCTGACACTTATGATGTTTCTTTAAATGATATATATAAAATCAGCCATGTGAATTTAAGTTAAATAATTCTTATTTTCTCACCTGGTATGTGTCCAGGTGTCACTCGTAAGTTCCACAAGCGCGTAGGTATTCAAGGCCCACGAGACGCTACTGAAAACTTAAGGTTTCGTTCGTGTGAAAATAAGTTATGTCTGATCACTCTGGGATCTTACTCTAAAATTTAAATAATGAAACAACCATAACCTTACTATTTCTATTTTATGAGTTTCATGTGGGCGTTGTATGCTTTGTGACGTTTGACCGATATTGCATAAAAATAGTTTACATATTTAGTATTTAGGTAGGCACCAGAATTGTTAGACGACGCAACCATCGTGGATCGTGTTAATTCTTTCCGTTCATTCTGCCCGCAACTTGTGCATATTTTTGGTCTTTATTTTTTAACAAATTTATAATCACTCCAACCTCCAATTTTTCCACCTTTTTAAAAGGTAAACTGCAGGATTCCAAGATTACCAAAAGAAATTTCAGCGCTCCAAATGTCAAACATTTTACGGTAAGCTTTCTAATGTAAGAAAGCACACGAAGAAGTTCCACCCAAAAGATGTAACAAAAATGCCGCCTTTGTGATGTAAAAATACATAAAATATGAAGGTTTCTACTAAGTGCAAAACATCAATGATTTAATAGAATAAGAATTTTCCACGATAAGTCCTCATTTTGGTTTATTTAATGTCTTAAAAAGCAAATGAAATAAAATAACATCTGAACGAAATTCAATAGAATTTTCGTTTAATACTTTTTTTTATCTTCAATAATCTCTCAGATTGCAAGCATCAGCACATCTGAATATACACAGGAGATACGCTATTGGGAAAACTGGTCTTAAAAAAATACTGGAAATTATTTTCGATTCTCTGAAATGGCCAAGAGGCGAAATTGTTATCTTGAATTTTAAACTCGGTTTCTGTAAAAATACTTGGAGTTCTTAAAAATCTGCAATAGTGCTATGAGTGACGCGATTGTGGGTGCTTCCTTCGTCATCAGGTGTATTTGGAACAAATGCAACGATATGAGGTTCTTATGTCATCAGATAGTCAAATAATGTTCCAGCAACCCAGTGAAAACCGCATCTCAATATCTTTATCCTAATCTAAAATATGAATAAACTAACTTCATAGTTCAAAAAAAGGTGGATTTTGGGAAAATTTTCCAATTTACGGATTGTTATTAATATCTAATAAATCGCCAATTTATTATTTGGTTGCCAAATGATATTTAAAAATCAAAGTCACTTGCTCTTCATTTTAGTTTCAATCAATAACTAGGCATAGTTAACGATCCAAAATTAATCCTTTGTTGAAGACAAAGCAGTTTTATTAATTACTGAATTATTTAACAGCATTAAACAAAAAAAAAATTTCTCAACTTTATAGTATTCACTGTAACCGTGGCTAACATTAAACATTTTAAACTTTAAAACTTTAACTGTACTATGGTTAGTATTTTTTTTTTTGTAGAAACCGAATTTTAAAATTCATAATCATAAATAAATTCCAGCATTTTCCTTTGGCCGATTTACTTAATAATTTTTTAGGACCATCTGCTTCCCTAACTCCGTATCTCGTCCCGCTTACTGGGACGCGCGCTCTATGTAATATATAATTTCACAACAATTCAAGTGTTTGCATTTCTTTGGTGTTGACTATTTTTTTTACTTTTAAAAACTTGATAACAAAAAAATGAATAAAGTCAAAAAAAGTTAAGAATTATTATGGATTATAATATAACTATCCTGAAATGCTGGCTGCCATTCTAAATTTGCTCACGGGCGGGCCAGACGATAGTTAAGGTTGTCCTTACCTCAACGTGTGAATTCTCCATACCCACTGCCAGCCACTCTCCGGTTGGACAATAACCCAAAGAGAAAATTTGCGAACTGAAATTGTGCTGCTGCAATTGTTTTCCTTCCCGTAGATCCCAACTGCGAACTGTGTTATCCAACCCGCCGGTCCACAATTTCGTGCCGTCGGAACTAATGTCGATACACGACGCTCCGTCGGTGTGACCCTGAAACAAATTAATTTCGGTCGTGGAAGTAAAACATTTATCTTATAGACTTAATAAAGAAATTTATAGAAGTGAAAAGAATGCGTCTAGATTCTACCTACCGTTCCGTCATGCGTGGATGCATGGATCATGCCGATTTTAAGTTATGAACAACCTACTAGCTACAAAAATGAGATTTTTAAAAACATCAGTAAAAATGTGAATTTTTCAGAGAAGTGGAAGTTTCTGAGAGTTATTTTCCTTAATTATTGACCAACATGGAAAGCACCAATAATTATCAAAGAACAATGTCTCAAAAGTGTGAATTATGCGAACCAGGGCAATACTCACCTAGAAGGTTGGGATCAAAATTTGGCAAGAATAATGGATTATCTCAATGAAAGTGTTAGTGAAACTATTTTGTTAATTGACATTGTGCTAAAAATAGTGCAAAAGGTTTGGTGTATTTTACGTTCAATCGATGACATTCCTTCAGTCAAGTCATTGGTTTTTACAATGGGTATTTATTGTGGCACTAAGACGCCTAGTAGTTGCGAATCTTTTATGAAAGAATTTCTGATGTCTTTTTTTGTTAGGAGTCAAAGGACACACTGATTATAATTCTTGCACAAAATACAATCTGGGATTCATTTTCAAAATCACATTACATTTCCTGAATGTGATGCATCACCCAGAATGCAGGGAGTTTTTTCAGGTGGATGATGAAGATTTTCATAGCTAAAGTTCCATTGACTGAGATTCTAGCAATAAATTTTATCACAGCATTCCTATTAGATTAGTTAGGCGTATTTATTTATTTATTTATTTATGGATGTTTGGACCAGTACCATTAAAATTGCCTGGAAAGGTTATAAACAATATGCGCACTGATCTTGCTGTAGTTGCTGGGCATATGCCCTTAAAGTTTAACAGAAATCCAAGTCCTTTAGAAGATATAATAAGTGTGAATTATTGCAAACATATGTTAAAAAACCCAGTAAATTAAAGTTATAAGAAAGAGATTATTATTACTAAAGTAACGAATCTTCATTCTTGTATTTGTGAATTGAAAGATTCTGCGAAGAAAAAATTTTTGAGAATATTCAGGAATTTTATAAACGGCAAACCAAAATTTAAAAAGTGAATCATTTAAGATTTGGTTACAAATAAATAATAATAATATATGTACATTTGAAAACAGAGTGGTCCATTTGAGCAGCGCTCCTATACCTTATCTTAATAAGTACGACTCTGAGGAAAAAAAATTAAATACAAAGTTTGACCCTAAGTATATTTGTAGTATTTTTATGTATCCAAGGTGCTCCGTCGTGCGAGGACAGTAAGCAACTTTTTTTTTTTAATGGATTGATATGAATATTTTTAAAAATTCTAATTATTCGTTTGATTTCGAGTATTTTTTGTCATCACATAGCATACGAAATTTTGAGTAGTATCTGAGAAAAATTAACTTTTCCATTTTTTTTTACACTTTAAAATAAAATTTGGACTTTTTATTATGGAAAAAAATATATATTCTTTTTTAAATGGAATTAGCACTTTTATTGGATTTAGGATTTAATTCTGTATCATTTCATATATATAGCTTTTATTACAGAAATTGGAAGTTGAGAAGTTATGGCCAATCTTCTGCAACAACTCGTGTATTTTATTTTAAATCTAACTAAACCTGTGTGATATCCTATTCTAACTATTTTTTTTAACATTAATTACTTAAATTCAATATAAAATCAACAAGTAATGCAAGTAAATAAAATTTATTACTAATTACAAAACCTTTTCTAACCGCGTCTTATTTGTACAAGTAATCCATGAAAAAAAAAGAACAAATAAAATTGTTGCCTGGACAGAAAAACAGTTTTTATTTGACATTTAGTTGTTACCAACTTTTTAAAAAAATTGTATTTTTGCAGTGTTCAAGAGCGTTATTAGCCCATTAGTATTCATCATGATCTTGAATATCGAGTGGTAGTCAATAATCGAAAACTAGTGTTCAAAGAACTTTAAAATTTAATAACTCGCATTCCTACAAATTTTTGCCAGCTCAGAATTGATTCCAACATGACTATCAAACTAATCAAACAAGACTTTTTTCGTGTTCTCTTACGATGGACCACTATTTTGAAACTGACCTTTTTAAAAAAACAGGCGGTATGTTCAACAGAAAAAATACTCATTACTCCTGTATCTCAAATGAAAATTGTGTAAAAGAAATTAAGAAATAGGATCGGAGAAGTGTTTGTGTGGTGTGTTATTATTCGTAATCGAATAATAAGTCCCAGTATTCTATGACTTTGTTCTCAATTGTTGTTATCAATTGTTGGAGAACTATATATTTCTATTAATTGATAACCTGTTGGACGATATTAAAGAAGGGAATGTTTTTCAACAAGATAATGCGACATATAATCCTGTAGACATTGTTTAAATCAGCCGTCGCCAACCTGTCGATCGTGAGCTACCGGTAGCTCGCGGAGGCAATTCTGGTAGCTCTCACAACGATTTTAATTTTAAAAATTCGAACTTTAAAAATCAAAGAGGCTTCAAAATTCCACAAAAAAATCTAATTGTCATAATATTCCTCGTGGGTAGCTCGCTGTTTATTCTAAAATTAATAAAGTAGCTCAACACATTGAAGAGGTTGGATTTTGGATTGGTCCATGACTTGACACACATGAACTTTTTTTATTTGGCTGCATAAAAAACGAAGTGTATAAGTGTGTATATATATATATATATATATATATATATATATATATATATATATATATATATATATATATATATATATAATAAAAAACATTTTTTTGATAGTCATTTGTGACCACCATGTATAATATATATTCGCCATAAATAGGTCAAAGCATTAAATATTCACCTTCATGGATCCATAATAAAAATTCTCAATTTCAGTTTTCAAGTGTAAAAAAAAGACATTTTTACAAACACCTGTTTTTCCGCAAAAAAATGGAAAGTTAATTTTTCTCAAAAAGTACTCAAAATTTCCCATGCCATGTAATGTTAAAAAAGACTCAAAATCAAGAAAATAATTAATTAGAATTTGTATATTCTTAGTATTTCATTTAAAAGAAATAACTTGGTTACTGTCCTTGTTCAACGGATCACTCTGTATATATAAAAATACTATAAATAAAATATATACTTTGTATTTAACTTTTTTTTCCTCAGTTGGCCCTGGACAAAAAAAAACTCATGATTGCGATGACGTGTTTATTTATCCGAAGAGGAAATGCTGCTGTCAAAATTCCTTTTATATAAAAAATCACATAAGGTAAAATAATAAATTACACGAATTATTTTTGGGCTAAAAGATGACGATCACAGACTGTTTCTGACATCCGTAGAAACAAATCTTATGTGAACACAAGGCATGGGTTTACACATGGCGGGGCAGCCTTTGAAATCTAGTGCGCAAGCACACTATATAGAATGGTACAGATTACAAACATGCAACAGAATATACAAATACGTTATTAATAATGTAGAAAAGAAGACAGAAATGGGGGTTTGGATGACATTTTAGGTTATTTTTAGGGACATATGAACCAACAGGCAATGAACAACAGGTTCTTATTTTCAACAACCTCAAAAGCGGATTACATTTTTTTTTCAATACATAAATTTTCAACAATTAATTTTAGCTAAGTTACTTGATGCCAAGCCTGGTTTAGCTCTTCTTCCAAACATTACTTCAAATGGTGTTTTTTTAATGCCGGAGTGGAAACTGTTGTTTTTTTTAATTGACAGAAGCTCGACCCTTTGCTCATTTTTTTGATTTACTGTCCGCGATCCAAGCTACAATCATCTGTAAGTTCATGTAGGACGACAATTATTCAAGAAAATTTTAATATCTCTTGTTACGTTTTGACTTATATTCCAATTTATGAGTTTCACCCTGTTCAGTTTCTATATGAGCATTTAAAATTATATTGAACAATTTCGAATAATTAAGAACGTCATATTTTACATTATTTTCACTCTCTTTTATAAATAAAACTGTTGACACCAATATGTAATCCACTAATTAAGTATCCCTTCATTCATCTTCAAAAGTAATGCAGCATGTTATTTTCACTAAAAAAAACAACCAAACTACAATAACCTTACTTCTTCAGGCTGCAGACGTCGATAAAAACAACAATGTACAGCATAAAAAGCTGATACGGCTTGAAAACTCCTCTTTATATTTTTAGCAGTATCCTATCATATCCCTTTCTGACAACACCAAGTTTGTTTTGACGTCCAATATGGATTCTAAAGGCAGGTTTATGCTATTTTTTGATTAATAAAAATGAATATATATATATATATATATATATATATATATATATATATATATATATATATATATATATATATATATATATATATATATATATATATATATATATATATATATATATATATATGTTGTGGAAATCAAATAGTTCAGTTTAGCTGTTTCGCCAACTGTTTCAGCCAAGGGCGTACGAGCGTTGCCAATGCGTGAGACTGTACTATTGGTGTCTAAATTTAACATATCATTTACGTATATCGTAAACAGTAGCGGTCCGAGAACTGTACCCTCTGGTACGCCACATGTTACTGTCTTCATGTCGCTCATAACACCGTCTATGCTTACGCACTGTTTACGATTGAAGAAATAACTACGCAGCAACTCAAATACTCTCCCTCTCAGTCCCCAACGCTTTAGTTTATCAAGTAACTTATTGTGGCAAACAGTAACAAAAGCCTTGCTTAAATCTAAAAAAACCCACATGCAAGGGTTGCTTGAATCTAATGAGTCGTATATTTGGGATATTAAAGATTTGATAGCATCATGTGTTGACTTCCCTTTTCGAAATCTAAATTGAAAGCCTGAGATTGTATTGGATTTATCAAGAAATTTAACAATCTTCGTTTTAAGTACGCGTTCAAAAATTTTAGAAAACACTGATAGTTTGATATTGGACGATAATTTTCAACTTTTTCTATGTTGTCATTTTTATATAATGGCTTAATAATGCCAACTTTAAAACAATCTGGGAAACATCCACTCTCAAAACATTTACTTATAAGAAACGTTAAGGGTTCTAATATTTGAAAACAAATCTCTCGTAGTGTCTCGCTTCTAATACAGTTTGCAGTTTTTTTATAACTTTTTCAATTTCCTGTACATCTACGTTACATAAGAGCATTGTATTTGCGAGCATGGGAAAATCATTTCGAAAAGTATTTTTTCTGCCAGCTTTGTACCTAGTTCAATATAAAATTCAACATAACCGACATCCAATATATGTGATATCTGACAACCAATATATGAAAACTGTATTTCTTCCTATCATCCAAATATTGAAGTAAATGCATGTTAAACTGGACCTCGTCTATGCTAGGTGATTTATAGATACAACTTAGAAGAACATTTTGATTGTTTACTGAGATATTTATCTCTAATACTTTTGTCTTCCCCATTTGTACAGTGCTATATTCAAAATTTAGTTGCTATTTCATATATACAATGATACCATCATTCCTATTTACATTACCATTGTTATAAAGAATATTGTAACCCTTTAAATTGAAGGGAGTTTTGTTTATATCGTACTGGATAAATGTTTCGGACAGCACAATTACATCAAACTCTGTAACAAAACTGTTAAGAAACAAAGAAAATTCCTCAAAGTTTTTGCTTAAGCTGCATATGTTAATGTGAATTATTTTAAAATCGATTGCATTGAGAAATGTATTATTAAATATTTTGACACTACTTATAAAGTTTGTATCAATTACCTCTCGTTCAAAATCTCTAATGTAGGAGTCCATTTCAAATATAGTCTGTTAATCTACTTATTTTTTATTAGAATAATTTAATTTTTATGTCATTTTCCCCGACGAGTATGTTTTCTGTTTTTCTTCTTTTGGTAAGCTGTTCTAGAGCTGGACTGGTCCGAGAAACTTCGTTTTGTAGATGTTGCTATATACCAAGTGTGACTTTATTTTTGAAGTTTTGATTTCTTCTTAAAGGGCTGTGAGTTAATGGCTCTACAATTTTCTTCTTTAGTCTAAATGGTAAATGGTCCTGTAGGTTCGAGACGCACAATCCTTCTTTTCGCTGTCTCTGGATCTGTTATGGGACTCAATTCCTTTTGATTTGTATTGCCTACCTCTTCTTTGTCTGAAACAATTTGCTCAAAATCGGAGTTTTCGTTGTCGCAGATTTCGTCTTGAAGCAAGGGAGTCGATGGTGCCCTGCTAGTTTTTCTTATCTCAATTTGACTATGACTATCTTCTGGCGCCGTTTCTAGCTGATCCACTGTATAAGCTTCACCGTTCACATACAATTTGTCTCTGGTAATATATACTCTTTGGCTTCGTGATTGGGCAATTTTTTGTGTTTTACTATAATCTTTTTTTGTTGGAAAATATAATTATATTCCGGGTAAAGATGTTGCACACTGGGAACCGTAACTATCAATATTTCGGTATAAGTTTGACCAACAAGTCTTCTATCAATCCGCCATACCACTCCCATTCCTCCGGATGATATCCACCCCCTTACATTTAAATTGAAATGGCCTGCAGCTGTGTATCGGTCGACAAAACGACGATTGAAACGCTGGTGGTCGTGTCTATACACTCTGATTTTACACTTTTTGGAAGACAAAAAGATCTTTTTATCAGAAAATATGACCCTATCGCAAAATTGCTGTTTTTGCGCTTGACAGTTAAGAGCAAAAATAAGCTGTGGGGGAGTGAGTGCGGTCTTTTTCGCCGCAGTCCGATACTTCAGATGCCATTTTAATTTTTCGACCAACTGTGGTTTTACTGCCAGGAAATCCCGACAGAATTTTTGCGTCTTTCGGGCTTTAGAAAGGGTTATCCTTAACTATCCGAGGGAGTGCCTGATTTTCTTGAACTAAACTGTTTGTATGCCGGATTCCCTTTTTTTCCTTTCATTAATGGAAAAAACGGTTATACTGCTTACATTAAAATGTTGAGCGACCGCTGCTAGTATATGGAGCCATGTTAGGCTTCTTTTTATTTTTTAACATATTTGAGATATCCCTGGCAATTTTTTTTTATTTGACAGTACTAGAAATATGAAAACAATGAAGTTTGTATGACGACATAGTGGCCTATAATACGCTGCTCAACACTTTGGAAAAAAGTGCTCTAAGGGTCGTAACGGTTTTTTTTTATCAAAAAAACCGTACAGATGGATTCATACAATGCTGACATTGTACAAACAACGTCCGGCAAAGTGCTTCAAGACAAGAACATTTCGGGCATTGTCTGAATGAGGTGTGCAATGCCGACTTCGTGCAGAATTGTCTGTACCACGCGTTCACATCATTGGGTTTTCTTTTGCAATTTTTAATTTGAGCAATATTTGTGAAAATGACTTCCATTAGAAGCTGATATGATGCACAGGAAAGTTTAGTCACTCTGCGAAAGTACGACTTACCTGAAACTGCCTGACCAATGTCTGGTTATGCAAGTCCCACACAGCAATGTTGCCGTCTGAACAGCAACTGAAGCACACTTTGGAATCCGGTCTTATGGCTAATGCGTAACATGCCGGCGCAGACGATGTCAGTTCGGCTTTAATCCTAGGTGTTGGACTGGCCAAATCCCATATGGACAGGTTAGACGCTTCACCGCCTACGATCAGAGTGCGACCATCTGGCAGAAGTTTCACCGATCGAATATAGTTGTCTCTTTGCTGTAGAAAACTGATTTTAGATGAAGTCAGTGACGCTGCACAATTAATATTTAATGAAGCCCTTTCTCTTTTATATCATTTTTTTCTTGAGCCATATTTGTACAAATTATCTGGAGGTGTCAGAATATTCTACTAAAAAATACCAAAAATTATGAATACGGACAAATCAGAACATGAAATAGAAACACGCCATTTCTGGGAGACGAAGACATTCACTGGTTGCCTGAGCAACGGCACCGACCGACCGCAATCGCCACATGCAGTCCCATTCTGAAATTACGCGCTCTGTACTAGTGATCATTAAAGCTGTGCGAAATTTTTTTTGTCCATAGTCGCCATTCTATGACACAATTGGATTTTAGAATAGATATATGTTGACAATGTTGCAAGTGCTCACACTATATACAGAATAATATTTTTATGTATTCAAAAGTATAGGTAAATTAAAAATTTAATTCAATTTACATTAACAACATGTTTTGCTAATATTTCGTTAAATATTACCCATAAAATAAAAAAATAAAACACAACAACCTTATAGAGAACAAACGCGTACGTCAATATAGAGTTTTTAGCTTTGATCTCATGTGCTCCTACACGTGTACAGGGTGTCTGAAATACGATTTCCCACACACTTAACTCCGTAACTACGAACGATAAAAAAAAGTTGAATAGAAAAGTTACACAGTTTCATATAGATTTGTTAATTTTTAATTTCCATTCCTATTACCTAAATCCAATCGTTTTTGACAAATCTTAAATTTTATGTCAAACGTTTCCTTGTGGAAGATGATATATTGCGTGGGTACTTAGGAGGTAAATGAATGCAGAGTGAGCAAAAATTGCTTTAAAAATTAAGTTAACTTTGTTTATCCTAGAAATTTATAGTCTCCGAAATAATTGAGAATTTAACATCAGAGGATCTCTCTAGTTCAGATTTAAACCACCATACTATTTTTTCAGTCATGTTTATAGGAAAGATCGGACTGCCAAAAGTTTGTGTTTCCGAATGTTTTTGCGAGCGATACCTAAAGCCTACTATAAAAAAAAATAATTTTGCTAGGATGATAAATGCATCATGCATTATAATCAACAATGTCCATTCATTATTGAATTACATTTCATAAATTTGAATTAATATTTATTTATTTATTCCAATAAGTAATTCCAAGTTATTACAATGTAATTAGTAATTAATGCAATTTTGTTTGGAAATTTTCAACGTTATTAAATTTTTAATTTTAATTAAACAATAAATTTAATACTAGTTCAGTGTATGCGATCAATGGATTGTTGAAACTTTTTTTTTTCTAAATGTCTGTTAGCCAGCATAACCTACTATAAAAAAAATTAAAATTCGCTTTTGTGACCCTAAGAATGATGATAAATATGCATAAATGCATCATTTAAAAACATTAAAATGAAAACGTTAAATATGCCGCCAATAGAAAACTTAAAAATCTATAGTGTATCTCGAAAACAAATGACAAAATTCTGTTTTCCTTTATGTCGTCATATTTTTTATTCCCAGGCCTCCATTCCTTCGAAAGAGATTAAAGCTTATCATCAAATCAAGATTTTTGTAGTCCACAATACCCCTCAACTGGATCATTATTTAGGTCTCAATAAATTATGAAATTAAGTTTTGGTCTAAATATGCTGTTCAGTTGGTTGCATCAAAAAAATATAAAAAGGCAGTGTTTATTCGTGACTTGTAGGAAGTTAATATACAAACCGACTTATCTTAAATTCTCATTCTATACAATAATGCTCCAAGTATATTTGTTTTGCTTATATATCAGGTCGCGTCTCTATTGCAACACCACTCGTTTCATTTCTTTCCTACAGTAAGATGATACGCTAATGTAACCAGGAAGACAAAAAGAATTAATTGATTCATGGCATCGTCTCACATTAACATTTTGACAAAACTTGGTTGTCCGATTTGTCATCGTAAGAGCCTTTATGATGTCATTAACAATAAATGAGCTCTTGATGCGTCAGAGCGTCATAACCAAATCAACATCTATAGATCAACGAGCTTGACCCAATGCTCAAGACAGATTCGAACTGTTTATGTTCAGAGGAAAACACTTTTCCTAATCAGAAACGCTGGGATGTTGGCGTTTATTCAGTAATAGACGTGAAAGCCAATTGCCTGAAGAAAGTTCCGGTACAGATCAGGCGTCCTACCCGCGCAAGGGAACGCACTCCTCGAGCTATCCTCAAAATTTGAAAAATGCCAACAATTAGAAAAAGGAAGAAAGAAAAAAGAATGAAATACAATAAGAAACGGACGACAAGTTTCTGCGTTCCCTGTATAGATTGGGTACCGTTTTTATAGAGGTGGGTGATATTAGGAAATCTTTGGTCGCTTTGTTTTCTTAACCTTCATGACGAAACTCATCAAAGCTATTTTGAAAAATTTTGATCTTCCCTACGCCTTCATTATGTGAAAAGGAAAAAAGAGAGACCCCACTGCTACTCACATACCCAAGCAGATTTATTCTCGGCCCTTTGTATCAAATTTTGAAAGACCCTGTATTTATTACTCTTATAGGCAATGTAGTTACCAAACAATCCAATTGACTTATCGGAGCTTTTCCGCCTGTTGGACTTATATCCCACACTTTGACGCATCCTTTACCGCCGGTGTATACGTATTTGGTAGGGTTTGAAATAGTAACTGCGCATACAACTTCGCCATGATTGAGGGTGTTGATCTGACGGGCGTGTCTCGGTATGCCCGGACCGATGAGCGCGTCGGAAGGAAACGGTACCGGTAGCAGTTGTCCCTCGCCGCTCATATGAAACGAGTAAGCACTGCAATCAAAGCGGGAAAAAAGGTTAATTTAAGTTAATAGTAATTAAGTTATTGGATACAAAAAAAGTCACCGATGAGAAACGAAATTGGTGGACCGAAATATTGAAAACGAAAAAATACAGAATAGCAAAAACTAAACCTAAACAGTAAGAGCACAGTACGGTAATGTGGAAACGGATATTCCTAAAAACTTACCCACCAGAGGACGTAATTGCCATCTTGAATTCTCAAATTCGATTTCCGCAATTTTTTTATGATAATGATACTTAGAGTGAACACTGTTTTAAAGCTGAGACAAATTCAAAATTGTTAGATGCTTTTTACTCTATCTCTAAAAGAAAAATGGTGGAGAGTGCTCTGACATTTCCCGAAATAAATGTCGACAACTCCAATATGGTTTAATGGAAACCTGGAGTCTTTAAAAAGGCTTGTGCTAGGCTATTAAAAGTACTATGAGTAAGCTAATTGCGACTGAGTGCTCTGCCACCAGATAGCGTGTTCTGACATAATCGCAAAAAAAAATCATTCCTATCCAACGGTTTGGATAAGTCTGGTCTAACAAATTCCTAACTTATTAAGTCACACTTGTTGCATAATATACTATTATGACAATCTCAATAGTTTCTGTCAAAGAAAATGTTTATTTCCTTTATGGTTTTCTACTTACTTAATATTTGAAAATAGCCAATGATATCACAGTAATAGTAATATTGTCTATGGTATTGCAAAAAAAACCAATATAAACTAAGATAAACAACATAGAGTCACTCATAGCACGTTTGATTAGGAAAAGCCCTTTTTAATGACTTCAAGTTTATTAAAATCTATTATGACATTTTGAAGTGATCGGTATTTATTTCCTTTAAAAGATTTAAAGAAAGCAAAAACCATCCATCAAGAAAAAATTGAATTTGTCTCAGCTTTTTTCTCAGTCTCTCGGTGTTCACTCTAAGTATCCTTAATATAAGAACATTTTGCAAAAGATAGATTTTAAACTTCTAGATGGCAATTATGCCCTCTGGAGGCTATGTCAGAATCTCAAAAATAATTTCCAGCATTTTCTTTTGGCTGATTTACTTATTACTTTTTTTTCAAATTTTCAGGAACGTGCGTTTCCTCAATACCGTACCTTCGTTGCCCTTACTTTGAACCCTTACTGGGACACCTGGTATGTAGGCGATACAAAGAGCTTGGAAGCATTGCGGATTAGGAACCTAAAGAAGACTATTATAAAAAATAACAAAAAACTTTGTATCCAATAAAGACCTAAATGAAGACTTGTAGAAATTATTAGACAACTAGAGACCGATTTTTAGCAAACATATCCAACTGAGGAAGAACAGTTACAACAATTAAAAAAAATATCCAGAAGTACGGACCCAAAGGACAATTGAAAAAACGTCGAGAGCTATATGAAACATGTATTAACGTTGAACTCAACCCAAGAAAATGGTTAGCCTCTTACATAACATTATACAAAAAAGGACCCAAATTATACGAGACTTAATGGAAAATGAGCTACAACATAAACAACCAGAAGAATAAAACGCTGACAACAATAGACAACATATTTTTTCTTCTCGAGAAAAGAATCCAAAGAATTAAGCAAGTTCATATTGCTTTGATTGATTGAGATAAGGCTTACGAAAGTGTTTTGATGTCGGAGTTGTGAAAATTTCCAAAGTAACTCGAAATTAACAAAAGTCTCCTTAAGGCATTCCAATGGCTGTACAAAGAAAACTCGACCAGAATAAGAAACGCAAAACATTTCACATCAGTTTTTCCACCTCCAAAGGTCTATGACAATGTCAAAAAATGACAAAGTTGTATAAAAGTGTATAAAAGCTGTAAAAGTATAAAATATATAAGGCTGCTGCTGACAAAGTGTCAATTTGGCAGACAACCAAGTAGTTATAGAGAAGGATCGAGATCATTATAAGGAAACTGAAGGAAAGTTACCAGGAGGCAGGACTATCAATACAGATATATCTGAATACTTAATTATCGGGGACGATAACACAAATAATTTAGAACTTTAACAAGAACATACGAAAAGGAGTAAGAACTTGTAAGTTGTAGCCAAGATGAAATAACAGAAAGAATAAATAAGGGAAAACACGCCACATGTTCTCTAAACCCAATCTTCAATATTTTGGGACAAGAACATTACCATAGAACCGAAAAAAGGAGTATACAATACCATAAATTGAAACTGTAATCACATATGGAGCAGAAGTGTAGGATATTAATTATACAATTGGAAACATGACGAAAACAGAAACAATACAGGTCACATAGTTTGGACATATAAAAAGAATAAGAGAACATAGTTGGCCTTGACGATTACTGGAATGGCAGAATAACAACACTACTTCTTACGAACTGCTGCCTGTTATGTAAATACGATTAGAAAGAAGGTGCAGCTCGATCAGTTAAATTTGTAACCAGTGTTTTCATTATCAGTACACTAACACGCATAAAAGATTGAGTGTTTGAGGTCTCAAGTTAGAAGGTATTTAATATCACCCACTTACGGTTTTCCACCGGGCACTACCACTCCGATACCGTTCGGCGGAAGGCTGGGTGGGCGTGCGTGAGGGTGGCCATCGTAAGCGGGACCCATGGCTGGTGGTCGACTATATGGCGTAGCCTGACCATAAGAGGCAAGATGGTCCTGTGTTCTGGGATATGATGGATACTGACCCACAACCAACGACCCACTGGCAGAACATTTACCTCCACCCGGCGGTTGACCGAAATTGGGCGTTGTCGATCTAGGTTTTCCACCTCCAGGAGTTAGAGGTTTTTCCTACCGACGAAAATTACTAGTATTCGCGCTTGTGGTTTACTTACTGTTGTAAACATACGTCTTTGGTTTTTAACGAAGGTGTACTTCTCGAAGACGACGATCCGCTTCTGCTTAGTGGTCTTTCCACCTTGATTTTCTCACCGTTTGTGCTGCCGTTTTCCCTGATGTCACCGCAATTTCCTAACGGGAGATGATCCCCGTTGGTTCGCGGAGACGCGGCTTCCTAAAACAACAGCATATAGGTTATTTCAGATAACTGTAGAGTAAATAAAATGGGAAGTTCCGTCCAGTTCAGCATCGGTGATGAAGACACCAAAAGTTTAATTCGAAAAAAAGTGATTTTTATAATTTTTCAAAGAAACTTCCACATGCTATCGTAATACTATTTCATAAACTATATACTATATAGGGAGGCGGGGCGGCTCAGTGAGTAGCGGTTAAGTTTGTTTGGTTATTGAAAAAAAAAATTTAAGGAATCTTGTAATATCTTTAGTGTGGAAATTAGTTGAGAAATGAGATGTTAAGTTTTTTAATTTTGGATTCGGAAAGTTGGGATGAGATCGTTTTACTGCTGTAAACAAGAGAGTTGATAAGCGATAATTTTTGGAGCGAATGATGATGTGATAATGCATTAAGGTCTGTGGTCCGTGGTCGCAGGTTTTTCTTATTGATAAAAATATCTAACAATGGGAGATTATTAATAATCGTCAACCGACGCAGGAGGAGTCCAAATTATTTGTAAATAGTACATAGCCCGGAGAAGTTTCTTTGTAAAATTAGCAATGTTTATCGGCGACAAAAATACTTGAGAAGTATAAAGTAGTACCCATAAGAATAGAAGGTAATATTTTACCTGGATGAGAAGTGGATTAATGAAGAAAGTACCAAAAATATGACAAGACAAGACACCCGGTACATCGCTAAACTTTCGTGGAGGATCTGTTAACGTTATACATGCAACACTCTTTAAGTATTTGTTTATCAAAATTATAGAATTATTATTAACACAGTGTTTGAAGATGCCAAGTGAGATTTTGGCGAAACGTCTGCAGGATTCCAGTCGGAGTTCAACAAGCGAACGGATGATATCCCCGACTATAGTGTCATCACATTTCTATATATATATATATATATATATATATATATATATATATATATATATATATATATATATATATATATATATATATATATATATCCCACTATCTTTCAAGCGTCCGTACATTAACAATTTGCTATTTTCCGAGCGTCCGTCTACAACCGGGCGTCCATATATGGACGCCCGGATGCAGCGCTATAGAAACGGTATAAACAAGATCTAAGTAGTCTAAATTAAAATTTTCACAAAGACGCTACGATCATAGTAAACTGATTTTTCTTGTATATTGTTAGTTCAGCTGTATACCCGGTAGAGGCGCGAGACCCAGTCTCTGTATATTTTACAAGATATATTCTACTTTCAGCTCGTCGATTTCCAGGCGTCCTCTGCGCCTTTGTTACGTGGCAACACTGTCACTATTAACTTTTGCAGACTGGCGCGAAATTGTGGGGTAACGGCTCTGCTTCTCCTAGTTGTTTTGTTTTTCATATTGAATGAACTCGATTGGCGCTCCGTAGTTCGAGCATGTAGAAGACGGTGGAAATAAATAATTTTATTTTTTTACCACGAATTCGGAAGTAGGCTAAGTTGGAATTAACGTAAACGTAACACCAATACACAAGACTTTTTTTTCTATTAAAAAATTAAGTAATTAATAAAAGTTTATTTTCGAAATGTGTGGTAAAGAATATATATATATATATATATATATATATATATATATATATATATATATATATATATATATATATATATATATATATATATATATATATATATATATATATATATATATATATATATATATATATATATATATATATATATATATATATATTTCACGTATTGATTCACGGATGGGCGCCCGGATGCAACGCTATAGAAACGGTATATACACGATCTAAGTAGTCTAAATTTTCTGAAGGACGTTACGATCATAGTAAACTGAATTTTCTTGTATATTGTTAGTTCAACTGTATACCCGGTTGAGGCGCGAGACCCAGTCTCTGTATATTTTACAAGATATATTCTACTTTCAGCTCGTCGATTTCGAGGCGTCCTTTGCGTGTTTGTCACGTGGCAACACTGCCACTATTAACTTTCCAGATTGGCGCGAAATTGTGGGGTAACGGGTCTGCATCGCCTAGTTGAAATCGATTGGCGCTCCATAGTGCTAGCATGTAGAGAAGATGGAAATAGAGAATTTTATTTCTTTTACGACAAACTAAGAAGTAGACTAAATTTGAATTTACGTAAACTTAACAAAAATACACAAGACTTTTTTTCTATTAAAAAATTAAATAATTAAGAAAAATACACAAGACTTTTTTTCTATTAAAAAATTAAATAATTAATAAGTTTATTTTCGGGATGTGTGGTAAAGAATTCAAAATCTACAAAAATCATATTTATATCCGGCTGCCAATGCCGTACTCTTTATATGATGTTAGATGTTAATGATACTAGAATTTAAAACAATATTGTGTGAAACACGTGGAGAAACTCTTTTTTTTTCGCTTGCTCTCTTCGTTCTGAGAAAATCCGCTCATTGCATAAAGTTATTCTTTTTTGAACTAGTTGTCGGCTCGTTGCAATTTTTTTCCCCTTAATTCAATGAAATCGCGTCTGTCTTTACTTGGACGGCTGACTAGATTGAAGACAGTCGTTAAAGTCGGACAACAAATGCAATAACAACAACCAAGGCTCCAGGGAATCGAACCTACAACCTGCTGCAAGTCAAGTTGGCAGGTCTAACGACTTACCAACAGAGCCATCCTTGATCACTTAAAAAAAAATATTCTTTTTTTATTTAGTTGCACGAATTGCTATTTTTCGATTATTTAATTATTATTGCACTACATAAATCTTCAGCTCCATTAAGCAACATTTTTAAAATAATGTTTTAATTAAACAAAGTGGCACCAACAAGTTTTGTTTTTTTATATGCGAATATTATGCAATAACTTCTGAATCTGTTTTAATTTTTTGTACATTTTTAGAACTATTACTTTCTTCCGAAAAGTTCTGCTAAATATTATTTAGAGCGTTGTTCGAAATATTAAAAATATCGAATATAAATATTTATATTATAGAAATATTCAATATTAATGATTGTCTAATGCAATAGGAAAAGAAGTTGTTGGAATTTGCAAATTAAAATATCATTTGCTAAATATATTATCTAAATAATTGGGTAATAAAATATTTTGATTTGATAATATTATATTAATATTAATATGTCGCCTATTAAAGTCCGCAACATATAAAAACTATTTTAAACTATTTTATTGAACGATTCAAGTTCTTCAATTTTGCTTTTAATCAAACCAAAATAAATGTAAAAAGAAACATTTCTATATTTTAGTAACAATAATCATTATGAAATGAACTGATAGAAGTTATTCGATAAAAGTGTTCTTTTTAATAGTTATTTTTCTTCATTTTCCTCTAAGATATAAATAAAAACAAAGTTGTACAAGGGATGAGAGGGATAAAAAATTTATAATAATAAGAAATAATTAATTTTCTTCCCTTATGTCACAGCAGAATGAATGAAATTTTGTTGGAAAAAATGCAGTATTTCAAGCATGAAATATCTGATGGAACAACCATGCATACAGTTCGGAAAAAATATTTTTAAATCAGGCTAGAAATCAAAGGAGTACAAGTGATTCAATGGAGACTGAAAATTTTGAAAGGTGATTTATATTTGTTTTTTATTGGAAAAGTAGACCTTATCTAACCCATAAACAGAGATAAAAGTTTTAGTTTTGGTTCCCGAAAAAGCTCTCATTTGCTCAATACTAATATGCTTTGGGAAAAAACTAACGGTTATTGCCTCTCTCGTCGAGCGGCTGCAAAAAGGAATATTCCATTTCAGTAGTTCCTAAGTATTTTTTGAATATGAAATTATTTCAAAATGTAATCTTTTAAAAATTGGCAAGTTAGCATCGGAAAATGGCCATAGCGTTTTGCGGCTTCCGCCTTATCATTGCCAAGTTAATGCGATAGAGATCAATCCCATAACATCTGTACTGTGTTTATGGACTGAAGCACTTGCTTAAGTAAAATAATAATAATACTTTTGATGGAGTCCACTTTGTTTCAGGTTTCACCCGACATTGTAGGCACACAGACCGCCCAATAAGTGAGGCTTGGGAAATGGAAAAGTTGATCGATGCATCTAATATTCTCCCTCCAGAGGAAGATATTTTTTCCGATGATGACTAGTTTTTGTTCCCCTTCATTGCTCTTTGCGTTACGGGTTTTCGTTGTTTTTGTTGTTGAAGGATTGACAGTTTTTCAAAAATTAGCCTTTTTAATTGATATTTCTTTACTCCCATATATTTGATGCGTTTTATTTTGTCCGTACGTATAAATACGTCACTGAATCAAATTGTACCAACTAATATGTACCTAAGTACATGGCATTTTTTGCGAATGACCGTTTTATGACCGTGTTTCTAGTAGGTTCTACCATTTATAACAAGTTGCAAAAGCCCTTACAAAATAGAATTTTAATTCAGTTCTTAGGATTGCATATCCAAAACTAATGAATTAATTAAAATCGGAGCGCATCTAAAAATGGTAGCCCTATAGCTATAGCTGATTATTTTATTATTTTTTATTACGTCACTATATGTGACGTAACTGCACAACTGCTCTTAATGGAGTGTAGTGCAAGAGTTCCCAAGTCGGCATGACCGTTATTTTGAAGAAACTTAAACAAAAAAAAACACTAGTTGAAATTGTAAGAACTAAATCGTATGCTAATGTATGAATAGTATGTATTTATTATTTATATAATTATAATTATAAAGTATGCAATGCAACTGCATGTATTACTACTACCCTGGACCGGATTGATTTATTGGCTCAAAAACGATATTACCCTAAAAATCATGCATATATTAACCATTTTTTGAGTTATGATTTCCTAATATTTGATATATATTGAGCAAAAGGGAAAGCAAGATGACCGGAGTTTAGTATTTGTTGGTTTTATATCTCCGACGGCATCAGATAGATCGAGAAATTGTTAGCGGTTAGAGTAGCCGATGGTGGACTTGATATATTAGAATTTTTAGAGGTATATTAAGAGAGTATCTTCCAGGAGACAGTTGAAGACGAAGAGATTAGTATTAAGGTCAATGGAACGAATAGAAAATATACGTTATGTCGATGATACAATTTTCAGCGCAGACATCGTAGAAGATCAAAAGCAAATAAATAGCCAATATAATTGGAAAACTAATCAAAACATGGAATCAAAAATAAATACAGAAAAAGACCAAAATCAGGGGAGCAAATATATTTGCTTGATCTAAATTGGATTACAGATAGAACGGGTAGTAAAAAGTAAATATTTGGGCTGTTCTCAGGTAATGAATTGAATAAGCCTGAAGTTCTTTTCTGAAATTTAAAAGATTGTTCTTGATCGATCGATCTTGGTCCCTGATTGAGATTAATAGAATCTTACATTTGATCGGCGCTTCTCTAAGGCGTATAGGGTTAGAAGGAACGAATTGGAGGCTTTTGGAATTAATTATTAAGAAAAGGTAGACTGCCTATCTCGGGCACGTCTTGTGAGGCCAGAAGTGCCATCCATCCATTGATGGATGTGAAAAGGAAGAAGTTTTATATACCTACAACTAGTAGGTTTAAGCCTTATAAACAGATTTAAATCTGATATTCAATTGAGTTAAATACACTGAAGAAAAAAGTAAGTATAAGCATTACAGTGAACGCTCTATATAAGCAACCCAATTGAATCAATTTCAATAAAAAAGTTTCTTATTGGAAAAAGTTGCTTATAGGAAAAAAAAGAAGTATGAAAATACTTACCGTCTGAAAATAATTTTTACTTATTTCTTTTACTAATTAAACTGTGTAGAATAAATAAATTCAGTTTTACTTTGCAAAAGGAAATAATATTGTTGTCATATAAACGTGGTTGTAGATTATATTTAAAAAAAAATAAACATCAAATTTTAATAAATATTTGGTCTAATGCAGTACTAATTGAAAAAACAAACAAAACAAACAAAAGTTACATATATCTGTTCATGATAGCTTTTTCTCTTATTCCTTCTAACAAAGGAACCTCATTGCAGGGCAAGTCATTTTCTATTGCCCATTCTATCACCAAATTAAAATAATTTATAATATCATTGATATTTTTATTAGAGTCATCCGACTTTTTTCATTTTCTTTAGTTTTTCACTTTTTTACTTCAGCATTTTCTTCAAGGTTAAATGAATGACTTGCCTTGCTTGTTCCACTTGCCCACTCCATAAATTTAGTATCTGCTAAATTACAATCATTAAATATCGAATTATACAATATTAATTAGAAGGAATGTTGTATTGAATTTCATTTGACGAAAAAAAGATGTTTAAATGAATTTTGTATATCTAACTGACACGAGAATTTCATTTCATGCTAGCACCACTAAATAAACAATATCTTGCCATTTATATTTTTCAGTGCTGAACCTAATCAAAGGCTGCAAGACATGCAAGTAGATGTTTGCGATAGCGATTTTTTAGTGATTTTATTACATTTTGATCTAGTGGTTGCAATAATGGTGTGATATTAGGGGAAAAAATATATAACTTTGAAATTCGAGTTACCAGTAATGTTATTCTCGGACCCATTTAAGCTTTTATAAACGACACCAGTTTCGTCGCAATTATATATTTTTGCAGGCAAAAAACCATTTTCAGCAATATAATTTTCAAATTCGTTATTAAATGAATTAGCTAGCTGCACATTGAAAGGCATACTATCTCCACAAACGGACAAAATCCGTATACCGTGGCGTTCTTTAAATTTGCTACAAATGTTTCAGGTCCATTATTTAATCTATTTACTTCGAGTGCTTTTAATTTTTTCATTTCATTTGGATCTTCTTGTCTCTTGTATTGTAGTATTCTTGTCTTTTGTATATTGTAGATCAAGTAACAGTATATTAGTTACAAATGTCCTTTGTTTTCTTACCATTCTCAGTGTTCTTTAAAATTGATGGATTATCTTTTAACGAAATTGAACGTCTTTTTTTTCTGATTCATATTTTATGGTTGAATCTAAAGCACAACAATATTTATTAATTAACTAACATGAACTAACAGAACTCAAGTGACTATTCACTTGAATACTAGCAGCACAAAAAGCAAACATATTACAGTAACAGAATTTTTTCAATTTTAGGTTATGTTGTTGTGAACAGCTGATTTTACTTCTGAAGTGGTTTAAACTAACCTCAAATATTTAGCTTTAAAAATTAAGTTGCTTATACAGAACAGTTGAACTAAAAAGTTGCTTATATATAGCATGCTTATATAGAGCGTTCATATAAAATAAACTTACAAATCTCAAACAACTATTGTTACTTATTCTTTCATTTCAACATATGACTTTTTTCCTTCAATATCAAGAAATAATTTTCCAATTCAATCAATGCCTATCAAAGTACTCCCTTTACATATCAAATGGGGTTTTATTATTCTATACGTTTCTGAAATAGAATTTAATTATAATTGGCCTGAAATTAAAAACTTACTTCATTGGCTACGTCCACAACCAAATCTTGATCGCTTTTCTCGCCGTCACTATCCTGTAAAGCAAGAGACGATTTGCAAATTAAAAATCGGCAAACCAAAACAAAGCTTACATGGCCGGACTTGTCGTCTTTTCTTCGTTTAACGTTTGCCTCAATCTCAGGCGGTGACCTACATCTGTAATTGTCTTTATCGCCAGGAGAAACGGAGTTCTGTAATTTATGTATTTAGTTATGTATTTTATAAAATTCAAATATACACAACCAACTGATTAATGCAGCTTTTTTAGAATAGATTGCTTAACTGTAAACCCAATAAGTTGCAAAAATATTTTTTTTTTCATGTAATGTAAGATATTTTGGGATTGTCTTTATTTTACAACGTTTTAACTGTTCAAGTATCTCCAGTCGTTTAGTAGCAGTAAAGGACGCCCTGGAAAGAATCAAACTGACCAAAACTATCCACCTTAGATGTCGGTAACTATTACTTTCAGGTAAAAGATCAATTCTTCAGCCAAGATGATGGACAGCTCATCGGATCCAATAGTTTTGGTTGATGACAATGGTTTTGGCGGAATGACAACAATAAAGTATTGCAACATTTTCTGTTATGCATCTACAACTGCGACCCAACATTTGGATTTAGAATGTTTTACTCTACAAACACAAAAACTCTATATTGACGTCGGTATACCTTAAACGACACACATTAGACAAACCACCACAACATCGCAAAACATGGCATTGTTAGAAACCTGGTGAGCAGACCTCTAAGCTACCGGAGCTACAGTCAAAAATTAAATATATCAAGGACGATCTTCAAATAAATCTAAGCTTCTAAACAGCTCGCTTTCTGCTACATTACAGGACTTGTCGAAAAAATAAAAAGAATAGGTAAACAAGACAAGATTCAGTTCGAAAATTTCTCTCCAAGAAGGCTAAACCTTCCGGTGAGAGCTACATGAAGGAAAACATATATATCTCGCAGATACCTTACGAGATACTTCTTATTAGGACCCATTTACATTACATGGGCTAAACAGAGGTTCAAATCACCGGCACTGGTGGAAAAGAAAGTTCAAAGAAGCAGCAGCTTCTTTACATATTAAAAATGTTTGAAAATTATCATTAGAAAAATGTAATCTTGACTCATTGTCAGTTATTAACAAGACCTACGCGTGACTGCAACCATTTGGCCACTTATCTGCAGCTGGTAAGCACAAAGTTTATTTAGTGTTCACTGAAAACGGCTGGAGATCCTTGACCAGTTCGAACAAAAGAATTCTATTTAAATTTAAATTTCTGGGAATATGTATGTGATATCAATCATTGGCCACATGTACTATACTAGTAAGAATAAATATACCATTTGAATTTTATGTTAAGTTGTAGGTATACGACATACTTAAAATAACTCAATTCAGGTTGAACTTACCAGTCGTTCTTCAGAAGCAGCCGCGCTATTCGGCCTTTCGGAAGTCCTTGAATGGTGTTCGGCGGGTTTTAGCAGAGGGTGCGCCATCCCCGGGTGAGACCCAGCACCTGTAGGTAACACTGTGCCGAATCCCATCAAATTGGCTGCCGCGGGACCCATCCCAGGCAGTCCGGGATGGGGTCCCATGGGAGCACCGTGAGGTAGTTGCTGTGCGTGTATCTGCTGCTATTAGAAAGTGAAACTGAGATATCGGATAGCTGATACTTGTTTGCTTATAGCTATTCTGTTTGACCTCAAAAACGACTTGGTACACTTAAGTTTCATTAATTTAATTTCATGAATTGAAACTTAATTATTTGAAAAGATAATAAGTAGAAATCTGGCCTCATAGTTTTTTATTTTTAAAAATCTAGTCATAATTTCTCACACAAAGCGAACAGTATAGCGCGTTGTTGATCTGTCGAATATTGATATTAGAAACATAGATACACTTCGTCCGTAGGCAAGCATTACAACTGTTCCAAATTGTAAAAACAGTTTATGATTCTTTACTTGATAATAAATATGTATTTTCTCAAACTACAAAGTTGTATAGGAATAGTCTCTACAGCACTTCTTATAATACTTTCAATTTCGACAAAGATAGAGCGACACAGAATCGCATAGAGAATAATATAAATTGGTGCAGACAGACACAAATGTATTTTATAATATTAATTTCCGAGCTTGCACTCTTACATTGCTCTTCTCGACATTTTATTTATTATTGCATGCAACAAGTCAAAAGTTGTTATCTACGGAAGCAATATATGTATGTAAATTATTTTGCAATATTGACAACCTTTTAGAGGTTTTTTGTTTTGAAGGTATGAAAAATTAAACGAGAGATTTTAATTATGACAATTTGTAGCATATGAATATTACTATTGTTCAAATTTGGATAAAAGAATAATGATTTGGTTATTTTTTACGAAAATCTAATTATTGTTGTATATAAAAAATAAGGCCAGACGCGCATATATCGAAATGCACAGAGAAGAAGATAGGCGCACACCATCCAAAATGGAATTCAATGACTTGGCTGAAACTACATGGCAACAGTATGGTTGGTGCTAATTCCAGTCACATCGTCGGTTTACCTCCATTGTGCTTATGTTATAGGCTCTAGTAATTGTGATAACCATAACAGTCAAATTTTACTCTTTATTCTTCGTGCGACTTCGCATTATATTATATGGCAGATACCACCAGAACCAGTTGGATTTATAAGGGTGCCAGGGGAAAAGATACTAGATATTAGATAAATCACTGAAAAATCGAAAGAAACACGGTAAAACTGTAGTTTGTGCTGTATTAAATAGACATCCACCTTTTATATCTAACACTACAACTATATGATGAAAAACTGTGCACATATGAGGATTGATGAAAGCTTGTCTGATGTGTGTTCTCTTAACCCTCCTTTAATTATCTACAGATAAATCTATCTATGAGATAAATAATGGAACACTGTCATGGTGGATAAAGATCGGTTGTAAAAAATTGTCTAACTTAAGGTTTGCTGACGATACGACCTTGATTACCGCTGTTCTACGGATGTCTTCATTTCTTATTCTATTTCTCAGTCTTATACCAAGCATCCATAGTTCAAGCTCAGAATCTTTGCGCCGTAAGTACGCACAGGGAGGATACAGATGTTGAAAGCGTCTCGTTTTAGGGCAATTGGGACGTTGAAGTTTGCCATATGCTGCCCATCTATTTAATTATCTCCACCAATCCTCAATTGTTATCGATATTAATAAGCTGGTTGGCAACTAAGCTAGTAATCATCTTTATTTTTTCAAAATTGATATTGAGACCCACTCTTTGGGGGGCATGTTAGTTCTGGGATAACACAAGCCTCCACCAAGTTGTCGGATATAAGTTCAATGTTATCTGCGAATCTCAAGTGGGTAAGTCTTTCCCCATCAATGTTAATGCCTCTGTTCTCCAGCATCCAGGACGCCTCTTTCTATTTTGATCCTTTTGAAGGAATTGTTGCGTTTTCATTCAAATTCTTTATTATATTTGAGTATTGATAGTCAACCGCGTCAAAAGCTTTATAGAAATCGACAAATATCAATACCAGGAGTCTATTATATTCGACGGATTTGTCAGTCAGGGTATTTAGACATTGGTTAGTGTGGTAGTGAGTTTTTAATCCAATTTTGATGCCACTCTGTTCATAAAGATTCGGGTATATATCTTGTATAGGTAGTTAAACCGGCTAATGGGTCTGTTGTTTTCCAGATTCGATTTATTTCCTTGTTTATGAAGCAACATTGTAAGTTTGTTATTCCATAAGGTTGGTAACGTCTGGTTGTACAGACACAAACTGAAGATTTTTTGCCTCTGCTACTACTCCCGTCTTCTTCATGTGCCCTGTTATTTCTCAATTTATGGAGTGCGTGATGTAGTTTGTCATGTAAATTGCTCCTCTCGTGCTTAGTTTGTTTGAGAAACCTACACATTATACCCCACAATTTTTGTATTAGACTTAGATATTTCTAAAATATAAAATAAAAACGTGTATGTTGCATTTATTACGTAATTTTAATTATAATAATAAATTATATCAAACCATGTTTTTAATACTTTCAATCAAATTAAAATTTTTAATCCTTTAATATAGAAAAAAAAACAGTTTTCATTGTTTTAGTGATCATATTATGTAACGTTAAAAACTTGATAAATCTGACTCCGCAATTTTGTTTTACATTAACAATACCAAATTATAGGATCATAATAAAGAATAAATTTTTAACGATGAGGTGCAAAATCTCTGAGCACGGCAATCAAATACTGGATTTTAAATGGTTGTGCCCGATTAGGAATTTCTGATAATAGTTCGATAACGAGCCGAATGCTGTGTAGAATTGAAGACAAGATCTAAAAAACCAGTAGGTTGATTTTGGTTAGAATCCGCTAATCTTAATATTTTAATTGGCATGTTCTGTCAAAAAACAGTCCAGTTTCTTGATTTAATTACTTGGAGATGTACAGGATGTAAGAATAGCAGAATACAGGAAACATACCCAACGTGGAGAAACAAATAGATCTGGTCTTGCAGAGCACACTTGGACAGAACATCACAGAATCAAATGGACAGATGCCAGACTTCTACAAAAGGAAACCCACTGGAAGAAAGTTGATAGAAGCTGCCTTCATCGTAGCGTAGAAATCGCTGTGCAAACCTCTACTGCCACGCATCCGGACCTTTGACCTGCCCTACCTGTTACGTGGCTCCCTCGCTACCTGACATCGTTTAAATGCCGGTATGGTCTGTTCATAGATATAAGAAAGTGACCAATTGCTTTTGAATGGGATTATCCAAGGGTGGTCATTAACATACAAAAGATTATTACCTAAAGTTTCGGAATTTAAATTCAGGTAAAATTGTGGTCCGTAACAGAAAATAATTTTATACCTATTTGTGTTTAATATTCTTTGATTTGGTATACTACTTAGTTTAAGTTTATTAGTAATCATTCTTATTTCGTGTATAATATAGCGTGTGTTGAATCGTGTGCAAATTATGCAAAATATGTGCGAGTCTAGTGGATCTCAGGAGATGCTACCGCCCAAATGTAGAAAACACTATTCTATTGTGACTAAGGAAGTTATAAACAATGTTTATTTGACTCTCATTGAACGTAGTGCCAGCAAGCAAGCATCTCTAGAAGAAACGGCCACATTGACGAAAATTCCAGCATCAACTGTATGGAAAATTATGAATAATCCCACAATACGGCGTAAAATTTACCAGTTCTACGAGGAATAAAGCGTGCCTACATTAGATATCTTAATTAGGAGGCTTGAAAAACATGAAACCGGTGTTAAATGTGTTAAATGTTAAAAGTGTATTCAACACATGGGTTTTAGATGATGATACCCCGGAAAAGGGTTGGGTTGACTCAACTGATAAGTGTAAAACAAACGCGCCATGAAAAAGAGGTAAAAGAATAACTATTTTGCATGCTGGCTCTAAAGATGATTGGATTCCAAATGAACTTTCTCTGTCTGCGAAAAATATTAAAGATTCTTTTCTGGATTACCATGAAGACACCACCGCTGATTTATTTGAAAGTTGATTTAAAAACAAACTAGTTCCAAACATTCTTCTTAATAATGTAATTGTAATGGACAATGCAAGTTATCACAGTAGACAGTTGACTAAAACCCCTTCCTCATGTGACACAAAAGCAACAATCCAAAACTACATGTATAATAACGACATTTATTTTCACGAAAATTATACCAAAAAGCAATTAATTGAGGTTCTATAAAGCTTGAACCTACAAAAGGAATACGTCTGTGATAATTGAGCAAAAAATCTTCTAGAGCATACAGTTTTAAGGCTCCCACCTTACCACTGTATATTTAATCCTATTGAACATGTTTGGCACCAACTGAAATCTGCCATTCGTCGTAACAACGTTTTCCCCGTGTTAACTCCAATGTCCTCAAACTTATAGAAAACGAAGTTTTTAATATCCCTCCACAAAGTTGGGAAAATTTTGTTAAACATATAGAAAAAGCAGAACAATCGTCTATCCATATTGCAAATAATATAGAACAAATAATAATTAGACCAGGCGATGATAGCGATAGTGATACTGATATATTATGTGAAGAATTTTAAGTAATTTAAGTAGGTAATAAAAATAATTAGTAATTTTATTTTAGATTTAACCATAAATACATGCATAAATAAATAAATATTGTTTAGTATCTTTCCTAACAAAACCAAAAATAATTAAATTCTAAGCAAAGTACGGACCTGTTCGGCCATATTTCATTCTTACAGCTTGCCCGGATCTTTTAGTCACTTTCTTATATGTATGAACAAACTTTATCTTTGATCCTAGAATTCAGTTTTCACTTGATAACAGTTAGTGATAGTTAATAGATAAGACTTAAAACGTTAAAACGTTTTTAGACACTGGAAATTCGAAACGCCAGTATTGACCACAACCTTTGGTATGTTTCCTTTGGGGTTTTAACAAAAAATAACTAAGAAATACACATGGTGTCAGGGAAGGTTTTTGCTTATGATAAAATCTTGGAGATACAAGAGTACATGATGGTTTTGGATGTTAGTTTTTGTTAGTTGGTGCCTTTCACTAAGCAAAAAAAAATAAATAAATTTTTGGCTCTGTTCACACATATTCAATAAATTCTAATTTCAAATTCTAAACTTTTTCAAAAGTTAAAATTATGATGAAAATAGAATAATAATAATAAGAATGAAAAGTTAAATAATGATTTATATTATGAATGGAGAAGTATTTGTAACATCGGCGCACATTATTTGTATGTTTGTTGAAATAATTTTCCCCCCTTCTCATTCTGTTTAATGTAGATTGCTTGGTTTGTATAGAATTAATTTATCTGTTTATTTTTTTTTTCTGTAACTGTTACTAGTATTTATAACTGTTATGAAAGTTATTTGTGTTTTAAATTATTTAATTTTTCTTTGCTTTTATTTTTTTCGTGTTTAATTTGTATAGAATTAACATTTTAATTTCTTACTATTCTACGTTTAACATATATTTTTGTTGCTATAACCATTGTAACCAACTTTTCTGATTTTTTTTGTATTCTACATATATTATTATGGTTATTTATTATTCGGATGCATATTGTTTGTGTTTTAATAATTTCATTCGCTGTGCCTTATTTATTTTGCATCTTTCCATTTGTATTCCTCGCAATTATTTGCTAATAAAATCTAAAGTTTATTATTACTATTTGATGTGGATCATTTTTTTCATGTCATTGGATAATAAAATTGTTAAAAATATTTCTAAATTTATTTACCAATGTGTAAATAATATATAATTTACTAATTTAGACACTTTCAAATAGAAATTGTTTAATTGAATTGAAATTAAAATTGAAAGTAGATATAGATAGATAGACATACAAATAGATATAATAGATATACAAATAGTATTTAAGCAGAGCCTTGCATGTTTAACCGATATTGGAGGAATTTCTTGTATCAATATACTCCATCCATTGGAGGAATTTCTTGTATCAATATACTCCATCTTGAATTGCTATCAGCAAATAGTTTTTTTTCCGTGTTAAGATATTTACTTTATATGTATATATGGCGTTTAGATTTAGTGGCAAGATATGTCTGTCTTATTTTAAATTGGAGTATTCAATATTGATAACGAGAGATGTCCAAGCTTATCCTCTGAGAAGATTTTCGCATGTGAACAAACCGTTAAATCTTAAGATATTTGGAAAAACGTACCAAAAGACGTTTGTCAACCGAAAAGTTTTTTACTACTACACTCGGATTTTATTTTTATTTTTAATAGCAACAATCAAAACCATGATTAAGAGAGTATCAAAAAGAGTTCTTGGAAACTATTGAAGATGCAAAGTTCAGAAATCAATTAGAAAATCAATCATACCTCGCTTATTTTTTAAAATTGAAATGCTAAAAAATCCCTTTATGGGATCATAGGTTTCTAAGGTTTAAAATTGAAAAATGAAAAAAATACAATTCGCACTCGAAAAGGGTGAAAATTAAATGAAAATAATTTAGAAATAACAACGATTTTTTAAAAACAAGGTGCTGTGTGTCATTTCCTTGCCAAACGTTGTTTAATAATGACGTGTATAATGTAATCACTTTTTTTTAATTTTTCGACTTACTAGACCAACGGTGACAAGATTTGCCAACTTGATATCATTGCATTAACATGCAACTGATGAAAAATTGAAAATGTGCAGATGAGACTTAAAAAATATTAAAAACGTTCATACAAAGAATCGGATCAAAACTATTGCCAAGGTCATGCAGATAATAAAAATGTTATGAGAAAAGAGCTAGTTAGCATAGGCAATGGAGTGGAGTGCAAAATCTAATGCAATCTAATACACTTTAGCAAGTAATTAGACTGTTGGAATGAATAATTTGGAATTAATTAAGAATGTGTCTTAATAATTGATTATTTTTGTTTATTTCTCATTAATTCATTGAAACAGTTGGAAGGTCAAACAGAGAAAGTGTTCAAAATATGTGTACCAGTAACGTTACAATTTAAGCTAGAGTATGTTACCATGCGGTCATCTAAACATAACTAAGGTTGGATTGTAAAGATATTTTTATATAATATATATGTATATAAAAAAAAATGACACACTGGTGAAATACTCTATTGATTTATACGTCAATCACCTATTCATTAGAAAATTTATCTAATAATTTAAAAATTCTACTCTATCTAGCTACATACGATTAAAGAATAACTTACAAGCAATTGCTGAAGGCCTTGCTGTTGCTGTTGCTGGAACAACAACAGTTAAAATTAATGAACACATGAAAGGACCTTTTAAAATGTTTTACAGATTTTCACAAAATATAATATACACTCAAGCGCAATAATATTATAGTACTAAGCACTATTTCCCCCTTATTTATCGCAATTTTGAAAAAAAAAATCAATAAATGTTCAAAAAAGATCAAAGATATTCAAGAAACGCACCGGAGCATCGTCCACAGAGTATTTTCTGACTGTTTTCAGTTTCAGTCAAGCTCTGGTGAAGCCAACAGGATGAACGGCGAAACGTCAGCTATTTCGATTCAGCAAAAACCGACGCAGGAGGAATCCAGAAGTTTTGTAAAAAGTAAGTCATATAATTATAATATTTGCCAAACTGTGAGGAAATCAAATAAGTGGAAGTTAAATGCAAAATCGCAATTAACGCCTATTAATAAAATCTTTCATATATGTTTAAATAAATCTCACCAAACTAATATATGACAGGCACATACACGTTAAATTACCTCCTAAATAAATTTAGAATTTGGATGTATGTATTGATATATTCGTTTTTGCAAATAGTAAAAAAAATAACCAGAGTAGTTAGGTAATCTACTAAATTCAGTGACAATACATTTGACTACCTCACTAGGCAAGACACGATTTGTTCAGTCATCCAAATTTTCCCAATAAATTCGCATCACCATTAGTCGGAGAAATCATAGCATGCAAAAATTATATTTTTGATTGCTAAGCATTGAAGCGGTATTAAAGATACTTCCGAATCTTTCGATCTTATTAAAATATATATTTTTTTAAGTGCCACGATTTTTCCCCGCTTAGAATTAGAAGCTAGTCCTTTTTTCATATTAAGATGATTATAGTATTTTCGTTGGAGGGTACAACTAAACAAGATAAAAGAAAAACAAACCCTTGTAGTTGACAAATCGTAAGACCGCACGATAAAAGCGGTTTTGACTATAACCAAATTTTTTAGTTAGAAGTGGCTCACAACCGGCACTACTATACTACTTGCGGATATTAGAAAACAAAAAACTTTTAAAAAATAAACAAAAAAATTATTTCATATTTGCACTAATGTTTTCGAAATAACCCGACATTCTTTCTCCCTTTTAAGGTAAGTAAGGTTATTTACGTGCACAACTTTGCTTTTCTGAGGGTTACTGAGCTGAAGAGGGGAAATTTGATTCCAAAATATCCTGAACCAGCTTCAGTTTTAAATAATATGCATTTCACGTTGGGGAACCACCATTTAGTCGTAACGAACTGGATATTTTGGATTGACTTGAACCTTTTTCAGTTCTTCCTACACTCAGGTTTTGGTTTTCTCTGCAAGTTTTTACGTTTCTAAATACTTTTCCTCCTTTGCAATATAATACGATTTCTGGATCATTCTAGAAATAATCTTGTGTTTCCTTTTTTTCAATACAATTATGATTTTTACCTCGATACTTTCTAGACCCTTCTAGAAATAAATATACTTAATATATTAACATAAACGTGGTACTATCTTTTGTGTAAGTCCATTTTACCTGAGTAATATTGTGTGATAGAATATAAGCAGATCAGCAAAACATTTTTTTTTTGGATTCGACACCGCAAGTAATAATTTCATTTTGGTTTCAATAAAGTTATTCAAAAATGTGATCCTCGAAAATTAGTATGACCATCGCGGTGCGGCGAATTTTCAGTTCTTTTTTTTGCTCGGGTTCGGGTTTCGCACTTGATTTTCGTATCTATTTTGTTTGCGTTTAATTTTTGCTACGTTAATCTGTTTAGGATGCCTAACATAGAGGACAAAATTTTAAAAGCAAAAGCTTTACGTTAGAATGCGATTTTAACTTAATAATTGAATGCGCCATTCGGGCAAGAACTGATCCTGCATATCATAAAGCACTCAAAATCAGATATCGGTCTTTAGAAAAAGTTAAAATAATCAGAGGCTTGAACTTCCCTCAATGCAGATCACCTTTTGCCTAGACCGACAGTTCCAACCTTAGAATTTCATACATCAAACTTAGGTTGAAAAATTTACAAATAAGAGATTGAAAGTATCCTTAGACTGGAAAGCGATTGAGGGTTGTCGGATAATTACAGTAGTTTCCGCTACAAAACAGGGTCGTATTTTTGAAAAACTTCTACCGAAACTCGAAAGGCCGTCCTTCATTATTATGGATAATGCACGAAATCATTCTACACTTGCTTAAGGTTTACTAAATACATCGACAAAAAAAGAACAAATTATCAATTGGGTGTCCAGAAGATTAATTATCCTGAAATTGGTCTAAAATGTGAGTTCTCACAAATTGTCAAGAACTACAAAACAAAGTTGCCGTATGCTACAGACGAAATAGTTGCTGAAATAGGTGTCAAGTTTTAAGATTTCCTCCTTACCATATATTTAACGCCGTAGGTGTGGACTTAGGTTTTGCAATCGGCCAGTGCTTGTTGGAACATGGCCTCGCTACAGAGATTGAAAAGCAGTGGTGACAGAACACAACCCTGCCGTACGTCCCTCAATATTTTAATACCTTCGGTATATTGATCTTCCATCCAGAGTTAAACGGTTTGATTCCACTACAGTATTGATATTATTTATGTTGATATCGTGGATCTTAATGTTTTCAGCCACTAGAATGTCTATTAGTGCGGACGCTTTCTCGAAGTTAATGAACCCTAGGTACATATTCTGATTCATGTCAAGACATGTATGCGCTAAGACATTCGTGTTAAACAGTGCCTCTCTTGTACTTATTTCTAAAACCGAACTGAGTGTTACTTATGCCCGTTACGAGAAACCTAAAAATTTGGTTGTGGATAACCTTAAGAAACACTTTTAACGTTTTATCAAGGATATGGTTCGATGGTCAGTACAGGTTATGGCATTTGACTTCTTAGGGGTCCCAACGAAAGTCGACTGAAGCCCTTGTCCAGGTATTGCGCCAGTCTGATAAATGGTGTTAAACAGGTCGACTAACATTGACTGTTGGCACACAGCGGTTCGAAAACTCGGATACGCAAGAGCACTGTAAGCTTCCTTGAATTTAATTATTCTCTGTGTACAACATTATGACCGAAAGGATAATTTCATAAGTAGAATTGCGCAACACACAATGGCAATAACCGAAACAGCTACCACCGTTAGCTGTTGATGTTCTGCTTCTGGGGCCCCAGGTCTTCAAAACTGAAGGAGTTAACCACTAACTTCACTTCTCGAACTGTATAAGATTTAATGTTCTTCGCAAGGTGTCGAAACGGCAAGAGAGCGTCTGAAAATTTCGTCGATACCAGGTCGTACTTAAAATTTTCGCGCAGTATCCTACACCTAGGATCACAGTTATGTGTTTTAAATATGGATAACAATAATTTCTTTTAGTTTGTTACGTGTACGCTAACATCGACATCTAAATCAATAAGTTTTATTAGTTCAATTTGAATTTCATCAGGGATTAACTGTTAGGTCCGCTCGGTTGTCATGGAACAACTGCCGAATATATTTCGTCCATTCCGCAATTTTTTCTTTTGTATCTCCAATTATATATCCCTCGCTATCTTTCAGAATATGTGAATGGGTACTCCTCCGGTGTATGGTAATTTCTTTGATCTTCTTATGCAAGTTTAAGCTGTGATATTTTGTGTCAAGTTCTTCTATTTCTATGTACTTTTCAGAGCTTAAAGATTTCATCTGTCATCCAGGTTTAAGTTCTCCTTACCCGCTCCAGCGAGGACATCCTGTACAATATCCCAGCCTTCCTTTCTAAAAGAATTAAAATTTTTTTGGGAATGTTCAAGTAATATAGCCATGTACTGATTTTAGATACTGTAACTTAAGTTACTTTGTTTTAGTAGGTTTAGGACTTACGCAGGTGAAAGTGGGGCGACACAAGTCCATCCGTAATGAAAATAATTAATTGGTTTATTATCTTATTGCGGCTCATATCCTGCTCCCCACCGAAATATCTCCACCCGTCGGGCATAAAACTCGCGGTTGCAGCCCGTGTCCGGCAGTGCCGAGTGGCAGCTCAAACAACCGATTATTTCACCGGGTTCTCACCAGCCACCAACCGACTAATAAGCAAGCCACCATTACGCCGCGCCGACTCCGGTAAGTTACCGCTGTCCGCCGTTGCGTCCTTCTGATCGAATAGGGGAAAACGATCGTCACCTCTTACCGTTTCCCGCGTTTCCGCCGTCCCGTGCCATTACGTAGCTTCAACCCCTCTTACCGCACCCCGCACGTCCTCTATAAAGGATGAGTGGCGCCCGAGATCGCACGTGCAAATCACCAACGAGCGCCAGATATTAGGGTATCGGGTGGCGAAACCCATTTTAAAACCCATCGCACTAATCTACACTGCGGTATATATAAGGATAGTACGGAAAATTATACGTTCTTGTGGCACCTGTCTCCGAGGCGAAGGATTTCGGAAATGTCAGGATAGGTTTTTTGTGGTTCACTATAACTGCGCGCCATATTAGCAGTACAAAAAATTCCAAAGCATAGTTTTTCAAAGATACCTCCACAGGTAATACTATTTACAAATCTTCTGATTTCCTGCTTCGTCGGTTGTTAATGAAGTGGACTTGCTCATATTTCGTCAATCATCCTTGTTCAAAAAATGGCTCGCTTTCGACTCTGTTCCTGCTCATATATTGTTTGAGAAGGGCGGAGCTAAAGGAGGCACGAACGCTGTCTCGGATGACTCATTCCCATATTCGTGAAAGGTTAAGATTGTTAGGTTGCTTATAGATTTCTATAGACTCTCGGATTTTTCGTTAGTAGAAGAATTGATTGCATGTAAGAATTTGAGTTTTATCGAATAAAATTTGATGTCTGGTTTCGTGATTGTGTTGGATAACTGCTGATGAGTTTATTTGTCGTCTTTCATGTTGTTTGAGCCTAGTTGATATTTTTCGTTCGGTCTCCCTAAGATATATTTTGCCGCATATGCACGGAATTCTGTAAACTACTGTTGTCTGAAAAGAAATTTTTGTATTTGACGGATCGAAAATGTTGAGAATTCTTGAACAAGTGGTCAATCTAGTTTTGACGTTATATTTCATAACCTTTGACACGTGGTCAGTGATGTTTTCAAGGACAACAGTGGCAAGGGTTGTGATGAAGTGTGTTTTGTGATGGAACGCTTAATATCTGTAATGTGGAAATTATTAGAGAAAAAAGCAGTTGCAACGAAAAATCCGAGAATCTATAGAAATCTATAAGCAACTAAACAATCTTAACCTCGACTCACCAATATGATCGCCAAAGCCTATCTTGCAGTTTTGCGACGTTTTATCGCTTTGCTCTCGAATTTATTCTGATTATGGTACTTATTCTGTGGCATCGGAAACATATTTACGAGACATTTTCTGTAAAAGTGGGAGGCAGAGATTGCATCGCGATTTCTGAAATCGCTAACATCGCGAGTATAAGTTGCAGTCAAATGGAATGAGTCCCTTGTAACAATGAATATTGGTTCAGTAGTTGGGTAGTGTTAAAAACTTAATTAAAGGCTCGGATAATATACGTGTATTGCAATTGTGGTGTGGTGGTAGCTTCATCCTCACATTCCCCAGTTGAAGTTATAGATAAGACTACAAAAATAATTTTAAAATATACAATGATTCATAAATATATGGGAAATCAAACTTAACGGAACACTGTATACTATGGCATTAACAGATACGTCCTTTTATACGCAATCGCTCATATAGGTTATGTTCTATATTGAATGTTTTCGGATTTATGGCCATTTTTTTGTCAAAAATACCCTGTGTTTAATATCTTATGTTTCCCAAGCCGTTTCCGACAGCTGTAATTTTAATATACCAACAACTTTAGAACTATACATACCTTAAAGTTAGTTCGAATCATTTATACAGGGTGAGTCAAAATAAAAGATCTTCATTTTCGTGAAAAAATTAAATGGAACACCTCGTATATTATGTTTCCATTAATTGCTACTATTGATGATCTGTCACTTTTATTAAGAATTTCCTAAACCTAAACTTAGTATACACATTTTTACGAACAAAACTCCGAAATTTTTTGAAATTATGAGAAAAGATCATAAAAGCCAAGAAAAAACAAAAGGTAAATTTTTAATTTTCTGCAAAAAAATGTTTCCTTTCTTTCTATTTATTTAGAAATTAGATTGTTATGTGTATACTGCACAATCGTTTAAGAAAGTGTTAAAGCGACGAGTACGAAATAAAGTAAAACTAAATTAAACAATTCTTTTTTGTTTTGCAATTTGGTTTTAGTTTTTAAATGTTTCTTCTGGAACTATTAGCAATATTAATATTTTATTTTTAATAATATGCCTGGCGTAAAATTCTCTTTAAATAGTTTTTCAAAAGTTGCGGGCTCGGATTCGGGCTGAGGTAGCATCGTGACCCGCAGGTGGTATTCCCGCTGATCACGGGGATATTACAGATTAACCTGCAACACAGCAGGGCTGCAACGGCCCACTTATGCAGGAAAATTTCGGAGGGCGGTACATCCATTGTACTGATCCAAGAGCCCTGGATTGTAAAATCAAGCGTTAGGGACTTATCTCTGGGAGGATCGATGCTGCATAGTGTCGACTCCTTAGAGGGCGGTCCCAGGGCCTGTATACTACCATGGGGCTAAGGGACAAGGCGTCCAGGGACCTGGTTCCAATTCTGGTCAGATCCCCCACTTGGGACGGCGTGAGGGAGGTAGTAGTCGCCTCTGCGTACTTTCCAGGTGACCGCAGCTGTCCTCCGCAGGAGATTAGTGACTTGGTCTCCTACTGTGAGGAGGCGAATCTTCCTCTTTTGATTGGCTGCGACAGCAATGCTCACCAGGTTTCGTGGGGTAGCGCGGCAACGAATAGAAGGGGGAGACCTGGTGGAGTTCATGGCCTCGGCAGGGCTGCAGGTGGCCAACCGAGGGGTATAACTCACGTTTTTCACGACGGGTCGGAGCTCGGTCATAGACTTAACACTTTGTACCAGGGCTCTGCTCCCGGAGATAACTGGGTGGTGTGTCTGTGGGGAGGACTCTATGTCGGACCATAGATACATCACCTTTGGGTTGGAGATGGATGTTCGGGAACCCGTTAGATTTAGGAATCCCCGGGCAACAAACTGGGAACTCTATAGAGAGGAGCTCGCTTGGCGCCTAGTGGGCTTACCAAGGAAACACCGGACAATGGAGGAGATTGACGAGGCCGCCGACCGAGTCAGCTCCGCTATGATACGGGCGTTCGAGAATAGCTGCCCTGAGACAGAGGAGCATAGGGCGGGGAGGACTCCTTGGTTGAGCTCTTCCCTGGAGCGTCTCAGGAGGAAAGTGCCGAGGCTGTTCAATACAGCGAGGAACAGCAGGCAAGGTGCGGACTGGGATCTCTATAGGGAGGTGCGCAGACAGTACAAAAAAGGACTACGGGCATCACAGAGGAGGGCCTGGCTACGGCGACGGAGTAATGAATACCCCGGACGCGGCTAGACTCCTTAGGGTACTCAGAAGTGACCCTGCGAGAAGACTGGGAGTGGTCCGCAGGACCGGCGGTGGCTACACAGCGGGACCAGCGGACACACTACAACAGTTGCTGAACACGCACTTCCCAGGGTCCGCTGATCCGGACACAGGGGGGAATATTGAAGCCGGGAGTCGTCTTGGATGCGACTACGCCACGGCAAGGAGGGTGGTTACCTATAGTAAGCTGAGGTGGGCTATTGACAGCTTTGGGCCCTTCAAGTCGGCGGGTGGGGATGGAGTATTTCCGGCTCTGCTGCAAAGGGACGGAGGTCTCCTGACCAGCCCGCTGATGGACCTGTTCAGGGCCTCCATTGCGAGGGGGTACGTGCCCGAGCTGTGGAGACACATCAGGGTAGTGTTCATCCCCAAGGTAGGGAAGAGTGACTACACGGACCCGAAGTCGTACCGGCCCGTTTGCCTCACCAGCTTCATTATGAAGACTCTGGAGAGACTGGTGGACCGGTATCTGAGGGACTGGGTGGAGCTGGAGGCCCCTTTAGAGCCAGCTCAGCATGCGTACCGAAGTGGCGGGTCTGTGGGCTCAGCTCTTCACCATCTGACTTCCAGGTTGGAGGAGGGTATGGGCTCGGAACGGCTGTCGGTTTGCGTGTTCGCTGACATCGAAGGGGCATTCAATAACACGGCCCTGTACTCGATCTGCAGGGCGGTGGAGAGTACTGGAGTGGGGACGGCTATTGTAAGGTGGATCCGCTCCATGCTAACCGACAGGAGGGTCGAGGCAAGACTGGGTGGGGAGCAGGTCTCCATCGGTTCATCACGGGGTTGTCCACAGGGCGGGGTCTTGTCCCCGTTCCTGTGGTGCCTAGTGGTGAACGAGATATTGCATATTCTGAGGGAAGAACACGGGGTCTATGCTCAGGCATATGCAGACGACCTTGTGATAATGACACAGGGGACGGACGTGAGGAGGATGCAGGAGCTCCTGAACGGGGCATTGGCAAGATTCTCACAATGGTGCCTGGACAGCAAGTTGGCTGTCAATCCTGGCAAGGAGGAGATGGTCATCTTCACTAGAAAAAGGAAGATGGAGTGCAACCTCAACATTTCGATGGGTGGGGTGCCTCTTTCTGTAAGCGGAAGTGTCAAGTACTTGGGCGTATGGTTGGACTCTAAGTTGGCCTTCCAGGAACATATAAGATCAAGGACCAGGTGGGCCTTTGGGGCTCTGTGGGCGTGCCGGAGAGCGGTAGGGGGCACTTGGGGCCTGGGTTCCTCTGGGTCAGTACTGCACTGTGTTTCAGGCGGAAATTTTCACTTTATTGATGGCGGCCAGAGAGGTGCTTCGGCTCAACCACGGAAGCAGGAGAGTCTTCTTCTTCTGCTCAGATAGTAGGGCTGCACTCATGGCGGTGAAGTCAGTGCGTACGCGCTCCTTGTTGATAAAGGAGTGCAAGGGGGTACTGAGGAGTGTGGCTGAGGAGAGAAAGATTACGTTGGGAGGCCCGCTTGGGGATCGCCCCGTGTGTAAGGCGGGGAGCTCTCGAAGCCTGGGCGAGAGACCGGGCCGCGGGGGGCTGGAGAGTTGCTCCGGGAATGAGGCAGGCGAGGCTTATGATGGATGGGCCCGCCCTTCCTCGGACCAGGGAGCTGCTTAGACTGACCAGAAGGGAGTGTAGAGCACTAACAGGGTCCTACACAGGACATTGCAGGCTTAGGAGGCATCTTTGCCAGTCGGAGTTCAACAAGCGAACGGATGATATCCCGGAATATAGTGTCATCACATTTTTCCATCCGTGAATCAATACGTGAATATATATATATATATATATATATATATATATATATATATATATATATATATATATATATATATATATATATATATATATATATATATATATATATATATATATATATATATATATATATATATATATATATATATATATATATATATATATATATATATATATATATATATATATATATATATATATATATATATATATATATATATATATATATATATATATATATATATATATATATATATATATATATATATATATATATATATATATATATATATATATATATATATATATATATATATATATATATATATATATATATATATATATAACCCTGTATATTAAAAAAAATTTTAAATTGATTTAAATCTAACATTTTTTTCTAAAACACATAATAAACGAGATATATTACTTTGACATACTCTTTGGACACCGTGCACACATAAATTAAGGATATTTCTATTTCAAAAGTTTTTATTTTGTTCTTAAGGGCTTTTCTTTGTCTTTCAAAATAACACTTGCACCTGAACGCACGCGAATGATGTATATTTCCTTACTGCCCCAAGTCTTGCATTCGATCCCAAAATCCTATTTTACCGTATTTTAATCGCTACGGGCCCACCGTCCACGGCGCTTTTGATCGCGGTAGTAAGCGAAGAATACACAGGAATACAGAGGAATACGATTGTCGATTGATAGCTACGTTATCGAACCGGGCGATTTGCTTACTCTTTCCAAAAAAGTGACATTTTTTCTCCCGTACGAGCGACGAATGCAGTTCCTGCAAATGCAAGCCCTACTTCCCCCCTTTTATGGTAAGCCAGGTTAATTACGTGCGCAATTTTGCTATTTCTAAGTGTTGCTGAGCTGAAGAAGGGGACATCACTTTCACCACTTATTGTATTATATATATTGATTATATCGCACTTAAGATAAATAGCAACGATAGTTTTTCAAAATTCCGTATTTCAGCTTTTAAGATGTCGAATCGTTACTAAATTAGGTTCACACTAATTTGTCTACAATAGGAAGAAAAGTTTGGCGAATAAAGTAATGTGATAGCTAATTTATTAGCATAATAAATATGATACTAATTAAACATGATTATGATTATAGATATAAGCAAATAATTGAGATATTAATTAGTCTAAATAAATAAAAACTTGTATAGAAGACCAAGGTGGAATAAGGTTTGCTGGAAGTACTGTTCAAAAATATCAGCATTCTCGATAGTCTACAGTCAGTTTATACTAAAATGCTAATAAGCCACCACCGAAAAATCCAATTATGCTACCAATATGAATAATTATGCCGCTATATTTTTATCATGTCATCTTTTACCAACTGCATATCACTTATTTATCCAAGTGCCAGAACCCGTTCGATAAAATAACGAAACTGTCTAACGGCTTTCAAATATCGTCGTCGCCAGCAGATAATTTCGCCTTTCTCTATTAAAAGTGATTTCCTGTTTTGAGTGTTTTCGTAAAGAAAATTCATTTCCCTAAAAGTTTTCCACAATTTCGTCTTACTCATGGGTGCAATAAAATCATCCTTTTTCATTTTGGAAATTATTTTCTCTAAAGTAAGTTTTTTTTTTTAAGGAAAACTAGTATATTATTCATCCTGATAGTAGTCTTCCACCCTCATTTATTACACTTTTTTTTCTTCTTGTCGGTAAATTGTTGACTATTTAGCTTTGAACACATTCAGAAGAATAATAATTTTCTCATTTTTAGAAAGCACACTATTTCGTTTTATAGCAACATATTCAACAAATTTTAAACATAAGTAGGCAGGTCAACTACCTATCACTGACTACCTATTGAATCCATGACAATCATCATGGATTCGATACTACGCCTATGGAAAACGAGGGTTGCTACTTATATTTCTGGCCTAATTATGAAAAAACAAATATGAAGTTTAAAGCACTTTTGCATGAGTTGGAACCAATCTTTGAAGCAGTTTTTCTACTCCAATTCAAAACTTCAAAACGAGCGTCACGGTTCACGCATCAACCGCAATTTTTTTTAAGGTACGGGAGTAAAAAGAAGTTATTAGGTGCCAAATCAGGGCTGTACGGCAGATGGCCTATCAATTTGATGTTTTGACTGGTCAAAAATTCCTTTGTTTTAGTGTGAGAGCTCGCATTGTCATGACTATCTGCTTATTTTGACGAATTTTTTCGATGACTTCTGGCAAATCAAGGTTGTGTTTCATACAGAATTGACCGTCCTACGTTGCTCTAACGCCACTGTAGCTACGTGACCTGTAATATGTGCTTCCTCCGTGAACAATTTAAGTTGGATTTTGTTCGTCTTGGAAGACCCATACGGTCTATTGGTGTTTTGTTTCAGGTTCATATGCATAGATCCATAATTTGTCACCTGTGCAGATATTATAGACCGCTTTTGAAGCACTACGTTGATATTTTTTAATCATTCTTATTGATGCTTGACATGCTTGCCCAAGGATGCGTCAATCTCACGATATGACGATCTTGCATTATCAGTTTACGCACAGCATCGATGTTTTGTGGCACAACCATTGATTTTGAACGACTCTCGCGGAATTCATCTTGACCATGACTGAAATTCGTTATACCAATTTTTCACAGTACTGTAAAAGAATTAAGTTCACCAATGCGTTGTTTTCTTGATAATTGAAGTCGAAAGTTATGAAAAACAATGGCTCAAAAATTCTCCTTAATTCCATTTTGAGTCAAACAAATTTTGTTTAAGTTCCAAAAAAAGGATTGTAGATCAAAAATCAGATTGCAACTAAAACCACTCGGTGTTGCAAGATCAGCAGTATAAGTACCAGCCCTCTTACGACCAGACCACTATGTTTTACATTTCAATAACGATTTAGAACTCTCTCGCATTAAGAAACTGAACAGATACCATTTCTCACTCTTTAGGCAATGAATTCCTATCGGTGGATCAGTGGTACGACTATACAAATTCGTTTGAAATAGCGAATGGTGCCTCCTGAATTATGGGGCACATTAAGTCAAAAACAACAACAACAGTCAACAACATATTATGTGTTGGGTTACAAAGATATTAATAAAACAAATTATTTACGTGGAATTAAGATTGTCACGACTAAATCAAAAAAT